TGCTCAAACTGCATGGCGGGTTACTGTGGCGACCATGAACTGTGTTTGGTGCGTTGTGAGTTCCCTCTTATTATTTGGTCCTGGTTTTAATCCTTGCAAACACTGATCAATAACTGTCACTGTACCTCAGCATTTGTAAGAAATTGATTATCATGACATGCTGTTTTTTTAACAAGACTTCCAAAAGCTTCAATGCCAAGAGTTAAACTAGCCTGCTGTCCATCAAATATGGACACATTTGATTTTTTTCCTTTTTAGACTTTTTGTCTGTCATGATTATCATTCTTACATACTCCCTGTTTAGTTGGTTGGTGTGGTAGTTTTCGGTGAGTCCGGGGTTTTTGTTTGGTTGTAACTCAATTCCAAGTGACTTTGTGCCTGAACTTTGTTGTTCTTTGTGAGATTGGAAATGTACTGCGACGTAAATGGTTCACCGCATTGTGTTTGAGAGTGAACGATGGTGCGTTTGTAGGAGGCCCGAGTGTGAGTCTACAAGATGGTGTGTACATTTATATCTGTGTGAGTGTTTTGTTTTATTAACTAGATGTGAAAAAATATTAATGTGCAAGTGAATGTGTGTAAGTATAAATGTGTGTGTGTGTGTGTGTGTGTGTGTTGTGCCAACTGAGACACTAACCTCACTCTAGAAGGTTTTGGGTAAAGCTGTTTGGTTCCTGTGACACGTGCTGCTGGCTGAGGAACTTCATTCCTCTGTAGGAATTCACAGACTCCAAAACCATGATATAAAACACCAAAAAAAACGCAAAAGGTTATAATATAAAAATAGTGCATCAAAAAAGTTTGCAAAGGTTAAATATTGATTATCAGAAATAAATCAGAAATATAATTTATAGAAAATCAAGGCTTGAGTTTTAATGAATGCTAAGGATTTTATAATGTAGATAATATTTATAACAGACAGATTATTCCCATTTTGTTAAATTGTTCTATTTAGATTAACTAGAACTACAGAAAGGTCTTAACATGTCACAAATAGATAGTTATGGTACCTGCAGATACCCTGTTTGCAGTAACCTGCATCACAAATAACTGGAGGAGGATTTGAATACTCTTTCCTACCTGAGAAATTACAGTTTGGTGAATGTCATGGTTTTGAATATAATTATAATAAATGTAAATTGAGCTTCTCTAGAAATGTAGGTTATAGTTATGCCCACCAGAATTCCTGCCGTGCATGTTCTGAATTAATGGGCCTGCCTAAATCGATAACAAACTTGCAGCAGTCTGACTATCACTATTTGAGTTGAATGGCCAATAGTTGATTACAGAGTTTCCCCTGAGGCATCAGTGCAAGCAGTGTGTATTGCAGACACCACTCCACTTCCTAAGTCTTACATGTATGTGTTGATTGTGCGTGATGTGGTTTAAAATGCTCTGTGCTTTCTTTTCCTTTTCTCTCTCCTCTACTTTCTTACCTGCAGGAAAACCTAAGAGTTCAATCAAGAAAACCACTTGGGATGTCCCAGCCTTTTTTGGTTGTTTGACCAACCGTATAGCACAGGAGCAACACTTCACAAAAAGCAGTATCACGTGTATGCGCTTTCAAAAACGACAAATAGCAGTAGTAATATTGGCAAAAAAATACATCTACAGAATCCGCATCGCAATATCAGAAGTGCTCCATATTTCCTATCATTCCACAGCTGGATTCATTTATATTATGTACATACTCTTATTGTCAGCAACAAGATCTACATGTTAAGAAAAAGCGTAACACTGATGTTATTCTTCTGAACAGGGTTCTACTGTATAGTGTGATTTGTGGTCCATGGCATTAACAGAAGGCCAGTCTACTCAGTCGGGGGCGAAAAGAAAATACTATTCTGTATTATTACCATTGGTAATATTGTTATGTAGAGTTAGTTTTATTATTTATACGTAAATTAAAAACATTGGGTGGTTAAACTGGAAGAGATTTGGATTTCCTCTCACTGTACATACTTTGGTTTAAAATTGGAGTTTAAGGACTTCAGGAGTTAAGATTCTCTGCTGCCACTACTTTTCAAATTAACAAAGCTGAAGGAATGGCTGGGAATTTTTCTATCTTGATTTTTTACGTTTAATTTATTTGGTAATCAATTTGATTAGGGTGGGGTGGGGTGGGGGGTGTGACTATTTCTTTTTTAATTTAAGAAAAAGAAGAAGAAGAAGAAGAAAAAAGAGGATTTCTGTGGTCTAAGACAATGAACACACTTATAGAGTTTTTAATTGCATAAATGTACCTATGGAAGTAAAAAAAACAACATAATGTTTCTTTATTTATTCTCTACAATCGCTGTTTTAAAACATATGTCTTTAAAAGAAAATAAAGTACAATTTAGAATTATAATGTGTGTTTGCTTTACTGCTCACATCATGCAATTTGCCAAAAACACCAGCTTTCCTCTGCATGATGGAACAAAAATGTTTCAGCAGATGACGGAATACATTGGGTTTCTGCCAATGTGTGTGTGTTGGATCGTAAGTGCTATGCAGGGCAGTTTGCTGCTCTCTATGGGCCTGAGCAAGTATTGAGCAGTGGAAAACATCTGGCCTCCTGTGTTCGTTGCACGTGAAACTTCGGAGGAACTGGAGAAAATCCTTGTCGATAATTTTGAGGCACCGTTTTTTGGTAACTGCTGTATAATTACATGTGTGTCCAGAACGTCTATCATGATTACACGCAATAATGGTAAATCTGTAATAACCCAACGTTAGTGAGTTATGGATGACACTGCATGCATAAATACTCAGGTTAGGTATGGAGAGGATGGTGTGTAACCACATTCAAGTGCACTGAGTCCGTAGGCCACAGCTTTTAGGTATGAGTCTGACACATCCAAACATGTCGAGGCCTCCTTTGGCATGCCTGAATGTATGAAGGGTGCATCATGCCATAAACATACCAGCATAACAAAAGGAATCTGTTATCTGATGGGAAAAAAGACGCTGCAAAAGATTGTAGCTTGATGATATCAACGTTGGTAGATACACAACCAGGCCAGGGTATAAGTCCTGTGATAGCAGAAGCCACTCTGCCAATAAACGACGTGGTGAGTTTCTGTATTTGAATTTTGCATCATTGGGACCTCAATATAATGCAAATAAAGGCTGTCCATCATGACTAGTGTCAGGATCTCCGATCCCCCCGAGTCGGTTGATGAGAAGGATCCCACTAGATCATGCAGTCAAACTAGGCAATACAATTCTGTATTATTACCATTGGTAATATTGTTATGTAGAGTTAGTTTTATTATTTATACGTAAATTAAAAACATTGGGTGATTAATTGTTACACCCTTTGCTTTGACGTGTAGGCTAAGTAAAACACGTAGAGACACTCTTCGCTTTCAGTTTGCATGTGACCTTACCAAAAGAAAATTGTGCATTTACACAACGGAAATAAAAGATGATGCTACAACAAAATAATAATACATATCTGTATTGTTATTTATTGTATTGTAAGTCAGTCTTTGCAAAATATATCATATCAATATATAGAGTGGAAGAAAGATTTTACATACATTTTGAGGGAACAGCAAGCACGTTCACAGATAGATAGATAGAAGATAGAAGACCCCTAGTGGTGCTCAAGCACCTGCAAAACTGGATGAGAAAAGTGCCCCTTCTGCTTTTCATCAATATTTAAGAATAAAAATGATTCTCTCTGTCATCAATTCCCCCCAAAATGTGTTTTGATATCTGACGGGGCATTTATTTGAGTTCTTGTGAGAATTTCGCCCCAACATGCTCGGCGGCGCTCATAGGCCCCGCCCCTCCCTCCTCCTCCACTTCTTAGTGCTCTGCAGTGCTGAGCGATACACGGATGCAGGATCGGACAAACAGGCGATGACGGTGTTTGTGCAACCCCCCCCCCGGCAGGGTTTAGTGATAAATTAACCATGTCATTAGCGCCGCTAATCTCGTGGTTGATCTCCTAGCTAATCATCAACTTCTCGTGCTAGGCTAACAAACGTGATGTTTACAATGCTGTTCGTGTAAAACAGCCACACGTGCGGGGACTATTTTCTCTAGGCTACTGAAATGCGATACACAATGTATTGTGGCTACAACTATATTCTGCCGAAAGGCAGCTATTTACTTACTATTCTATTCAAGGGTTTCCAGCCCTGTGCGTCGGGCCTAACGTCGAACTTGGACTGTAACATTATTGACAATAAAGTACTGCCTCTCGTATCCTCGTTGTTTAAGTACAATATTGCCTGTATTTATTCAATGTGATAATTTGAGTGAGTTTGTTAACAAAAATACATATATCAGTTGAAAATAACCTGTGTTTTATATTTATTTTTTTAATTTCATGAATAATTCTGGCGACAGGTGCCCTTTTGTTTTGGTTTGAGCACCTGCCCCCCAAAAGGTCTGTGCACGTGCCTGGGGAACAGAGCAGTAAATTGGTCGGTTAGGCCATGCATTTTGACTGGGAAGCTTTCCCAAAAACACAGTGGGCAGACGACCAGGATGATGATGTTGCATGAACACGTCCTGTGTGCCGTGTAGAGGCCTTCGTCAGACTTGAGGCAACCTATCTAAACCCATTGTACTTAAACTTGAGCCCTGGCTACAATAAATAATTGCCTGTTTGAACATGCCTTAAAAAAAACCTGCAGCTAGATTGTATCCGCACAAACAGCCAGGCAAGTATGTTAATGGCTGAGTACAACACATAGTATACGTTACACTTTCTGTATTTTTTTTTCTTGAAAATATTAACATAACTATTTCCACTAGAGCAGTGGTCCCCAACCTTATTTACCTCACGGACCGTTTTCATGTCAGACAATATTTCGCGGACCGGTCGAGAAGGTCCGACGGGGTAGGGGAGGTGTAGTAGTCGCGGTCCGCGGGCCGGTGGTTGGGGACCACTGCACTAGAGGATATACCTCTTCTCGTTCGCCGCCCTCTTGTGGCACTAATCACTCCTCATACGCGATAAGGGCTCACGTCACTTGAATGCCCCCCCCCCCCTCCGTTCTACACTAACATCAACTATATGCAGCTATTGAACAGCCGGCTGAACGGCAGCGAGCCGAGGCCCTCTGACACTACTTTGCTCCGACAGAAAATTTGCGAGCTCTTGTCCTCGCGGACAAAAGTGTTTTTGGGAGCAAGTGCGCCGCAGTTTGTTAGTTTCTCCGACAATGGAGCAAACCTGAGCTGTACAGGAGAGGAAAGGTGTGTGAGGCGAGGGGGGGGGCAAAGGGTGGCGAGGGGAGAGAGGGGGGGTTGCAACTCATCCAACCACCGACAAGTTGTAGTGGGGATTTTCGCTTTGCTTTACTTTCGTTGATGGCCAGAACTGACGTCGGCGCTACATGAAAGCCCCCCCCGACGAGAGGACGAGCCGCCGCGCAGCAGAGGAGACGCATTTAGACGAGCTAACGGCTACATCGCGGACACGGCGCCGAGAGGTGAGTTACCCGCACCGGCAGCGAACGTCACACCAACGACGTGTCCGTTTAGCGGAAACCTTCCTGTTAAAACACTCAAAACCAGAGACCGGCTTAGAAACGGCTGGCTTTCGCGGGAGGGGGGTTTACTCTCCGGTGGGGGAGGGAGGCAGGGGGGTGTGAAGTTTAACGGGAGTAGCTGAAACGTTACGCGTCGCTCGCTGCTCCCCGCCGGACTCTCGTCCTCCGAGGGACCCGCGCGGCGCAGCTAGCTAACAGGCCTCTCGCGTGTCCCCGCTGTTTGCTTTAGGAACACCGCGATAACGGAAGGTCATTAAAAGCACTGCGCGACTCGCCGACACGGCCCGGCGGGTTTACCCGAGGGAAGCACACGAGTGGTTCCTACAACCAGATAAACCGCCGTGAATGTGCGTTTCTGTGGCGCAAGTTGCGAATGCGCTAAAAAAAAAGTTTTCAAACGCAAGTTACACCGCAGATGTGGCCATGATAACTGGAGCCTGCTCATCCGTATTAACGATACAAAACAATGACCCCCGCCTGCTGTGTGAACAGAAATGGGGTGATAAAGCGAGTTTTCTGGTGATTGGGGAAACTTTTTCCAAGCTCCATCTCGCGCAGTCTGTTATACGTCCCGCTATGTCCGGGAGACTCCCCGCTTGCGCCATTCACGCACACGCTGCCACTCCCTGAGAGAGTTTACGCAAACGGCGTAGTGTCTGTGTGACTTGACAGGCTGCTAAACTTTAAAAAGTTAAGAGTCGTGCAAAGGATTCCCGCGACGTTTCTGCGTGACATTGCTTTAGATATTCCAAATGAGTCGGTCTGATCGTATTAACCTCCAACGACTGCAGTCTGTGCAACGTTCAAGGTTTTGTTAAAGAAAACAAAAACAACCCAAAAGGAGATTTCCTTTTAAAAGCACCATCGCACTGGTGTTTACACATGGAGTTCAGTCAAGCTCTCCTGGGGAGGACTGCTGCTGTGTTTATCTCGGCCTCGTGAGAGAGCTTTCCGATGGCTGAACGTTTCAGGCTTAACCGATTTGGCTTGTGCTTGAGGCTATAAAACTTTTAAAGGCGTGTCTCGTAATTGTTTTGGAACATTGTGAAACCCGCACAGTTTACATTTAGGTCTAATCCAACATACACATTTTGCTGGTTGCATATCTGGCCGCATTACCTCCAGCTGTAGACCGATTTAGTTCCTTGAACCACCCAGTGCTCATAAGCACACGTTCTACCTGGGGCACGGAGAAGAAGCAGACTGCAGGGAGGAAATACCTTTGCAGGCTGTCTGCGTGGTTGGGTTCATTCCCTCGAGGAAAAACTCCATTGGAGTTTGGCTTATTGCACAAGACAAGCGTTATCAAACACAGGTTTATGATACTTCAACTGTTTGTTTTTTTTAAGCAAGATAATGTTCACAACTGAACACCACTTACATGATCTTTCCAGCATGAATCAGCAGAAGTAAAAAGTGGTGTGACACAATGCTATGGATGGACTACGTCACATGCACGTGTGCACCTGGTTCCTCAACAAGGCCTGAAAGGCAGAATAGACCGCGTTCTGATCTTCGTTAGTCTAATTTAGCCACCTTTAGCGTCTGCCTTTTTAAAGATCCAAAAAAGGTTTAAAACTCACAGAAGGTATTTTTCACTGACACATTTTATGTCTGAACAAAAACGTTAAATGTCCCTTAAACACATGTTAGCCACGGACCTCATTTCAGGCATCTAATCTAAACACATTGACTTTGAGACAATGCAATACAAAGTGCAAAATGCTTACTTGTTTGGGGTTATAGGACTCATTCCTGCACGACTATTCTATTTAACAAGCAGCGGGGTCCTAATGAGAAATGCAATTGAGTTGCAATATGGGAAGTGCAGGATTTAGTGAATATGGGAAGTGCTTGACTCTTACTAGCGACTTAAAGTCAGGATACAACGGCCTTTATGGAATTTGACCAGTATTTTTTTGAATCTGTGTCTTGTTATTCCTCCAACTAAATACATGTTAATTGTTATGATGGGAACAAAAATATGTAAATGTAAGCATAGTTATCAGTCAAGACGTAGCTAAAGGATGAACTGTAGATGGACAACAAAGTGAGTACTTCAAAGTTTTTCCAATACAGCACATAAAAGATGCGAATAAACTTTATAGCGTTCAGTCACTTTTTTTGGTGCCTGTCCAAAAACGCCACTGTGTTCCGTGACATTAAAACCATTTGTGCCAAAGTGGCACGGTGCACTTTGGTCTCTCCAAACACTGTCACGAAAATGTCGAAACGTGCACCTGCTGAGTTGGCGAGTAATGATACTGGATTATCTGATAATACCAGAGAACATTACAATGATAAATACTGAGTGTAGTAATTGGTTCACTTAGACTTCAATTCGGCTGATTTGTTTGCTGAGTGTAACGGTGGAAACGTGAAGTTAAGGTAGACACCTTTTGTGGAATGGAGGAAGGCGCCTACGGTCGATGGCTGACATGAGAGGTGACACACAGAAGGCAGCAGGTTCACCAACATCCGCACACTGATTAACTTTAAGAGATCAGATAAGGTGACATACCACCACTTCTTTGTCAAGGTGAGGAGAATCATGTTTTACGTGAGACACCTCTCTGCTGGGGCTATGGCAGCCGGCGTGAGCTACAGTGCATTCATGGTTACTGCACAATGAGTTAAAACGCACGCACTCACTGCTAAGAAATCATTCAGGAAAATGTGTGACAACTGTCATTTTGCTCTTAAATGATTAACTCCAGAAAGTTGGTCAGAATCAAAACACACAACTTTACTGAAAAAACAGGTATAGCGATAAAATGAGGTAATCTGATGATCTTACACTCTAAGTCAATGTTTTAAAAGTTTACATGTGGATTACTATTGAATTGAGGAGTTGCCAGTGATTACAGTACCACTAATGTCACCGCAGGTTGTTTGATTTCAAATATTGTTGCTCTTTCTGCACAACACTGCAGAGCCTTAAATGGCCCTAAAAGATAATTTTCTAATTCGCACTAAATATTTTGTCCTGAATCAAAGTATTGGGTAAACTTAAGTTGTGATGTTATGACGCAGTTCTCAGAAATAAGAAATCCTTAGAAAATCCTTACATGCGGGGAAAAGAAGATATTATTGGGTTGGCATTATTGGGTGTTTCCAAAATAAAGATTATGTTGAGTAGTTTGTCAGCAGTTTACTGCTCACTGCGTTTATTATGGGGAGGGATTATGGACACGTGCCATCGCAATATGTCATCCAGCTGCAGAAGTAGTTTATCAAGGAGTGATAATTGGTTTTAAACTGCAGTCTGGGTTCAAGGGCCTGATAAAGTGCTCATACTCATTTCTTCATCATTCCTTTTCACGTGGAACAAGTGCACAGATGTGGCACCTGTAGCAGATGCCCAGTGAGATTTGACACCTCCAATCAATACTCTTTCCTCTGTGTTTCCTTTCTCTCTGGACCATTTGTCACAGCTGAGTGAGTTGCTATATACTTTAAATGGAAACGGAATGAAGATCACCAAGCAGACAAAACCTTGATTTCCTTCCATGTAATACCAAAAAGGCCTGAATATTTTTCTGTTTCATCCCTCAGGATGTTGTCTCGGCTTAGTGAGCAGATATGGGCGGACTGGATTTGGTTTCCTGAAGGCCACGGTTGGGCTGACCTGACGGACCGCGATGGGCAAGTTTTCCCCAAAACACAGGACCTGTGGGCGACTATACCCATCGCACTGTGCTTCCTGGTCTGCAGGCAGATATTTGAGAGGTGAGTCATCTCCGGCGCTCCCTGTGTGGATTCCCGTCACAGTGGCGCTTGCCTGTAGATCTACCTTCCCAATTTGCATTTGTTTTCCTCACAAATGTGCGATGATGTTGAAGCCACGTTTCTCTTTCCAGGACGGTAGCGACTCCTTTCGCCGCCCTTTTGGGAGTGAGTGACAAGCAGCGTTTTCGTGCTCCACCAAACCCCATCCTGGAGTCCTACTTCTGCAGCACATCAAAGCATCCCACACAGGTAATGGTCCTGCGCACTTCAGGAAACTAGCACTGTTTCATGCACACTGTGGCCTCGGGTGATGGCACCACTTGAGCCTCATCGTGGAATCCGGAGATGTTTGAGGTGTAAATGGATGAGGGAGACAACATGATGAAAAACCCAAGCCTTGTGTAGCCACTCGTCAGTTCCTAACTCCAAAACGTGCTGACCGTTCTTTCCTCGTCCCGCTTTTGTCGTCAGAGCTCCATAGAGAGTTTAAGCAAACAGTCGGGCTGTTCGGTGCGACAGGTCCAGAGGTGGTTCAGGCGGCGGAGAAACCAGGACAGACCCAGCAAGCTCAAAAAGTTTCGGGAAGCATGGTAGGTAAACATCCTCATGTAGACGTCAAATACACCCCCGAGCCATTGCCTGTCTTTCATTGTCATTTTGGGTTTGTTTGATTTTGGACACGTACTATCTTTCTTGCATCACAAAGTGAGAGACACAAAGTCGGCAGTGTCTTTGTCTAGTTGATTTGCCGGTGATTACATTCTACAGGTCCTAAAGAAGCAGAGTGCCGCTGTTTTTCCTGCCACTTGCTGATTACACGGAGTTGTGAGCCCCCTAAAGAACTTTAGCCCAGGGTCACTTTAAGTGGATCGACTGTTTTATATATTTACATGATTCTTTTCCAGCACTGTTTCACGAGCCGGGAGTCCGGACACCGCCAAGGGCTCTCAAGTTAGGTTTCAGGGGCCATGAGTTGATTTAATAAGCGAGCAAAGCAGACAAACTCCAGTGACGCGCGTGCCAGTGATTAGCGTTTTTTCATTTTGACTGCGTCATGTGGTTTTACATTGCAAATGTGTTTATCCTTCTGATTCAAAGCAACTGATAAAGTTAAATGCTTAAACTCTTAAGTTTTCCTTATCGGTCTCTCATAAACCCAAATTGGATTTCTGAGACCGCTGTTTGTTCTCTTACAGTTGGAGATTTACGTTTTACCTTCTTGCTTTCTTTGCTGGCCTGGCAGTCCTTATTGACGTGAGTATTGTTTCACAATCAGGCAATTCAAGTCCATTTTTGTGACATCTAAGCATGTAATCGTGATACTCTAGTCACGGCTTAAAACATTTCAACTATTGTTCTAATAATAATAACCGTTGTCTCCCTGATGTTGTTGCGTCATCTGATAAAATAGGATCTCTTTGCAACACACAAACAAGTACACAAATGTTGACACTGTAACCAGGGTTGCAAAATTCCCCTGACGCCCCTCAGCCCTATTGAATGGGGAAACACTGGAGGTGATGGTGTACTTTAGTTTGGACTTACATCCTACTGTAAAATGTTTGCCTACTATATACAAATAAACTTGGTATTAAAATGAACATATCCTCAGTTTACCAAGTAGTCGATATTCTAGGTAATGACAATGTTCCCTAACCAGCTGCATCAAGGGTCCACCTGAGCTCTGCCTGCAAACCCCCCCCCCCCCAAAGAAAAAGTCAGGATTCCCGAGCTTCTGAAAATGTTCCACCCCATTGCAATCCTTATTGTAAATGTAGTGGACACACTGTTTGAAGCCATGACAACACGGCTTTCTTATTGTTTTTTTATTTTTTGTGCACTACAGTGCTGGTGGTGTTGTGTTCAGACACTTAAACCCCCGTTAATAATGAGTATCCATTTCTCTTTAGAAACCATGGTTGCATGATATGAAGCAGATGTGGGACGGCTTCCCGAAAATGGTATGTCAGTACAATAGCTCCTTTTATTAAGAGGATTGGGTTTGACGTGAGCGAGCATGTAGATTTCAGGAGCTTACTCTTGTTTGCTACATTTCTTTACTAACTAATAGTTGCAATCGCTGGTTGCAATGTATTCCAACCGCTTTGTCTTGTTTCCCTCCAGCCACTGTTGCCTTCCCAGTACTGGTACTACATGATCGAACTAGGCTTCTATATCTCGCTGATTTTTAGCGTTGCAACGGATGTTAAGCGTAAGGTAAGTGAGCCGCCATCCTTAAGCCTCCCAATAGGACAGATTTCTCTCAGGGTGCATGAAATAACAAGAATGATCTGTTGTCGTGCTAGTGTATTTTGAGGTTTGGATATTGATTTCCCCATTAAGATGTTCAGACTTAATGCATCGCATTGAGTGGAGCGGTCAGTACTCTGAACATTATACTGTAGATGATGTTCACCCCCACTCACACGCTCCACTTTGTCCATGTGGTAAAGGCCCAGTGAGTGAGCAACAGTAAACCGTCTCCCTGGTCGGGTGATGTTGCATCAGTAGTGTTAATGATCTCTTCAGTGAGCAGGCCCTGTGGAGAGCCAGACGCAGCTCTTTATTCCTCAGGTCTGACGCTCTTGTGCAAGCGGGCGGACCTTCGAGCCGCCACCTCTGTGCCAGCTCTTCTTTTACCACTTGAGCCAAAACACAAATGGAAGGAACTAACCTGTTCGACCAAAACAACAGCTTTCTGGACCTTTACCGGTGATCTACTGTGTTGTAATCAACCTCTGTTTTGAGGAATTGCTTCTGTATATGGTTTTAGTTTGGTTTCATGAGAGTGAGACCATATAATCCGATATGTGCAGAGAGTTAATCATTGGTCAATCCACCATCAATCAATCGGAAAACACGCCGTCGATCAGTGACCGATCTTTACAGTTCAATCAATAAGTGACCAAACGGTTTCTTCGTTTAGTCTTTTAAACATCTCTCTCTGTCCCCAATGTTTTTTTTCTCCAGGATTTCAAAGAGCAGATAATTCACCATGTAGCCACCATTTCCCTCATCAGTTTCTCCTGGCTGGTCAACTACATCCGCGCAGGGACTTTGATCATGTTGGTGCATGATGCCTCCGACTATTTAATGGAGGTATGACGACATGCTTACGCAACACAACAAAGCGGTGTTTCACTGATGGCTGGAATGTTTATTTATTAATGTATTTAATTTGTTTTCTTTTCATCAATCCAATAAAAAAAATCATTTTCATTGCTGTCCACATGCCAACAACCGGGAAAGTCTCTTTTTATTTCATATTGTAATTACGATCATCGGTATACAGCTTTAACGCACAAGTTGACCTCCCTCCCTGTGCTGCCCTCTAGAGGGGGAATTTATGGAAAGATGAAACTAATCTCTCTTCCTTTCATTACAGTCAGCCAAAATATTCAACTATGCAGGTTGGAAGAAAACCTGCAACATCATCTTCACAGTGTTTGCTGCCGTTTTCATTGTCACCCGCCTCGTAATCCTCCCCTTCTGGTAAGAACAATGTCACAGCATTCACTGTATTATTCACTGATTTTACTGCATGTCATGATCGCAACATTTGAGTAACATTTTTACACACTTTAAAAAAAAGTTTTTGTTTGTTAAATAATTAAAGCTTAGTACACTCATGTGAAGCGGATGGCATGTCTAAAGAGAACAGTGATAAAGGCTGATTGTTAATAAGACAAACTATAAATGCATCCTAAAGAATGAGCTGTATATAGCGATTTCCTTTGTGCTGTAGAGCTTTGTGTTGTTCAAAAACATGGGTACTGTACTTTAGTCAATTACACTTCCACTCTGGTTATCAATCTGCAGCTGAAAATAATCTCAAACTGCCCAGCTGTGTTAAGGAGTTACTAAAACATTCTTGCTGGTAATATGCGAAATATGAAAGAATACCAACAGCTTTTTTGCCATTTTTATATTTTATATAAAAACTTTCATGTTTTGATGAAAGAAACTGGCAACACACACACACACACACACACAAACAAAAGCATGCATTAAGAAAATATAAACGCTATCTGTGCAGGAAAATGCCATGAGTTACTTGTGGTCTATTTTAATTACGCAATTTGAACATGGCCTCTTGAGGTTCGCACGGAGGTAACGGAAACACACGCTGGTGGTTCATTTCTGCAGAGATGTCCTGAATTAGCTGAGAAATTGAGGAACAATTTAATGGAATCGTAACAACAGACGCATTGTGCACACTTCTGGCTCCTCTCAATGGGCTTTTGATGGGGACTGTAGGTGGCCGTGACTGGACTTTCTGTTCTGTCTTTGTCCTCTCGTCCAGGATCATATATACGACGTGGGTGTACCCCCTGACCCTCTACCCCCCCTTCCTCGGCTTCTACTTCTTCAACGGGCTGATGCTCGTGCTGCAGGCGCTGCACATCTTCTGGGCAGTGCTCATCTTGCGCATGGTCGTCAAATTCCTGCCAGGCAACGTACGAACGGCCGCTCTCAGCATTCCCCGTCCCACGCGACGCGCTGACCTCACACCGCCGCTTTACGAATGTTGTGTCTTGTTTTCACCCAGCAGGGCATTGTCGAGGACGAGCGGAGCGACAAAGAGGAGACAGATTCTGAAGATGAAGCGGAGGGACGCGAGCAGAGGGAGAAGTTTAAGAACGGCCACGTGCAGAACGGCCACACTCTCCTGAACAACAACCACAGCAAGGCGGACTGATTGGACTGTGAGAGCTGGAGAGTGGGCCGAGTGAGGGGTGTGGACGGGCCCTCACATGTGGCCTCCACCTAAAAGCCAAAGAACGGGAGCGTGGCATGTTGCACATATCTACATACAGACACACACCTGTTTCGTTCCCCTCCTTTCTGAAACCCCAGTAGTCCAAAGTGGATCATTTCACTTCTTTTGTGGGGAGAACAAGACTGATGGAGAACAAAATTGATCTGCTAAGCAGCAGTGTGGTTTATCACAACACACACACACACACACACACACACACACACACACACACACACACACACACACACACACACACACACACACACACACACTGGAGGGCTTCTCCTCTCACATTTCTTGTCCCCTTTGCTTTCCGCTAATATTTTGTGCTACTGACCAAGCTGCCACATGCCATATCTAGCTTTGTTTGGTCCATGGGAGTGTTTTAAAGAGATGTTGTGGTTAGGGCCGGCCTGCCTTCCTGCACAGTCAGTTAAAACTCTTCAAAGTATTACTGCCCTTTTAACCCGACTGATTTCTTTTGGTCTAATCACACTGAAGTCAGTGTCGTGGTGAGGAGATCCGAGGCGGTGTCTTTTCATGGACCATAAGCTGATATAAGCCTGTTTCCTTAAATCCCGGTTGATACGAAATTAGTGCAATTGAGCTGCTGCAACTGCCAGTTTCTCAATTTAATTTGTTTCAATGTTTAAAACTAAATAATTGGAGGTGAAAAGTGTTTTTAACAGTCTGAAAACGTGCGATAAGGTGCTACATCGGCATCGTGTGTTGAAATGTGCCTTGAGTGGAAGTTTGTCATGAATGCTTTTCATTTCTGGGAAGCAGAGCGTACAGAGATAATTTTAAATGTTTTGTTTGTTTCGTATTCTTTTAGTTGTATGATTTTATTTTATTTTGTTCTTGTTCCAGTCAATGGTTTGAATTTGGGACCAATTTGAGTGTATCCCAAACCAATCAGTTACTGTTATAAATTCTTAATGGGCTGAAAGAGTCGATATCATTTCCATTCAGTGTTGTTTTACTCATCCATCCAAAGATGCACTTTATGGTTCGCTCTATTGATCAGCTGTGGCTAAATATCTTGTACACTGGTTTAGTTATAGTTTTGATGTAAATTCAAACCAGATTGCCTTTTTAGTTCAAAGGGTATGATTTCAATTTTTTTCATATTTATTCTTGTTATTATCTACCCAAGATCTTCCTCTTTTCTGGTGTTTTGGTACATTTTGTAAAAAGAAAAACTAAGTTTAATGAAATCTTAAGTAAAGAGGTAAAAATGAAACACCAAAGTATGGTTTACATTTTGTACAACCGTGTCATTTGCAAGTGCCTTCATCATTTCAAGTGTTTGATTGTGGGGGGAAAAAAAGAAAGTGATGTTATTTCTGTCCCGTTTGTCTTTATTTCTGCGGTACATCCACCGTAACGCTCTGGCCTCTTAACTCTCCTGCCTCAGCTCACGACAACCAATCACCTGCAGCTCCCACTGGAGAGCTTTGCTTCCACAGAAATGGTTTTTAATGGCGTGTTGCTGAGATGTAAAATCATAATGATGATAAAGATAATTGTGGATAACTATTCTGTCTCTTATAGTTTCATTCTCTCAAATCGGAAATTTACAATTCAACATTCAATGTCATTATTAGGACTAGAGATCTGATTAGCTGAGAAAATAAGGAATTAACATGTAATCTTTGTTTAAAAATAAAGCCATGCTACCGGTTTTACCACTATCAGTTTACTTTTACTCCTCAACCCCCAAATTCACAACTCTTTAAAACAAAAACTAGATTTGAAAAAGCTGCAATCAGAACTAAGTAACATATTTGCCTGATTAAAAAAGTCTTGATGCGGTTACAGAATAAACCTTTTCGTTTTGCCCTTAATACTTTTTTTGTACTCGTCATGTCCGCCTGGTGTCCAGAGGTCAACATACATTTGTAGTGCAAGGAGCTAAACCCTCTGATCTATTCCGTCACCCTGACCGTCCTCCATCAGTCAAAGCTCTGAAGGCACCATGGAGCCGTTCCATATCAGAGGACCCCTCACCCTAAAAAGAAACCCGTCCTCGATTCTTCCTCCTTCCTCCCTCTGCCCCACAGTACTTTTGGCCTCAGCCTAAAATACCTTCTTGGCTAATTGCATATGGAGTTGGATCACTTTACCTCGGAGCCTCCACGCTGTGCTTGTCGCTGGCAGCCTCACTGTAACAGTCTCCCGCTTTACAGCGGCAGGGTCGGTTTCCACCCGGCTCTCGCATCTGGCTCTGCAATTTGATTGCTAAAGCTTCTCCTGTTTCTGCTCCTCCAACGTCCGGCCTCTCCTCAACACCCCCCTCTCCCTCCACCCTGGTGTGTCCACTCTCACTACTCCTCTTTAAATCTTTGCCTTTTCCATTATGTTTTGCCTCCTTCCTCCCCTGCCGTTGCAGCCCTGTCTCATTGACCTGCTTGGTGTCGCCTAAGGTGCTTGAGTTATCGCGTCGCGTAGTCTAATTGGCGAGCGGTACGGAGGTCCTCGTGACAGCAGCACAAAAGCGCCGGGGTGTTTGATTCACTTGTGAACTGTGTAGGCTGTTATTCAATTCCTGCTTAAGTATTAATAAAGGCTTTACATGCCAGGGGGGGGGGGCGGCAAGGTGCAAGTGAATGCTTGGGTATCTCTCGTGTGTGTGTGTGTGTGTGTGTGTGTGTGTGCTCATTTTTCCCTCAATGATCCTGAGAGGAGGGGGACAGTAAAGCCTTTGGTAACTGATGACTGTCTTTGGTAACTGGATCAGTGAGGAACCTCAGAGGGAGCCGAGACACAGGCCATGAAGGCTTTTTGAAAAGGCTTTGGATGAAAGTGGCTGCGACAAGCCCCCCGATGACTACGCAGAATGGTGAGTTTGAAACCGTATCTTCACAATGATACAGGTTTGAGTTTGTGCTGATCTGGTTTTCTTTGAAATCATATGCTGCTGTCAGCTTTTACAGCGATTGAAAATACGTCGTGATCCCGCCGTAATTCGGAATTTGTCTTCAGTAAAGTATGAGAGATCGTCGGTCGTATCTTAAAGTTTCCATAATTAATTCTCTGAGCTGGTCTGTTTTGTTAAAACCTGAAGGGCTGCTGTGATGTTCTATATAGCAGCAGACTGGAAAATGATGGACTCTGGCGATAGTAAAAGTCTGTGTAAAATCAGTAGGTTTAAAAACATTATTTGAGTAATCGACGCGTTGACTGACAAAAAAAATGTTTTTAACAATTCAAAACAAATTTGTTTTTTTGTTTAATTCAATAGTAAAAACAAACATATTTGCGTTAATTAGAGGCAAAGCTTTGCAGGATATTGTAACGTTAATTTTTACAGGCAATAATCTAATTGAGAAAAGAATCTGAAGATGAATCTGTAATTTCAGGCCTTAAACACTTCACACTTATCACTACCCCCCCCCCCCATTAACCTTCGACCTTTCGGCCCCTAGCAGGACTTGTGAGCCGTCTCATTCAGAAGCTCTTTCTGTAATCTTTGTATGTTTTTCCTGATTGGTATTCCTGATCATCACCATCATCTCTAGAGCGGCCATGCACACACCCGGCCTTCTCCCAGGGTGGAGGCGCTGAGCTGTAAAGGGAAGCGGTGAGTCGACATCGCCCACATGGACCGGGCTCCCCGGCCCGCATCGCTGTTCGAGGTGGACGTGGACCTGGGCTTCGCTCTCTTCTTCCTCTTCCTCCTGTGTCTCTTTCTGCTGGTGACGGTGGTGCGCTGCGCGCAGACCGTGGCGGATCCTTACGGCTCCTTCTCCACCTCGACCTACCAGGAGGAGCAGATCACCTGAGAGAGAAGAGGGGAGGGGTACTGGTCAGTGACTCTGCAGGACTCAGTCTCACTGCTATATAAATTCATCTTTTTGACACCATGCAGTTTTGAATGGCCTTGAAGCCAACATCACATACAGGGGAGAGGCCGCTTGTGGACAGATAGAGTCCTCGTTAGGCTCCACTCAAGACGTGTGTCAGGTTGCGCGTGAGTGTCTTAAATACCTTCCAAAAAAACGCTTTGGTGGATTACTTGATTGACCTACCAAGTCTTCAAGAGGCCTGAACCAGCCACAAAGTCAAAGAAATGGGGTCTTAATCACATTTGTTTTTACTGCATTTGTTTTTATTTTTTTAAGGGGTAACCTGCATTATACATAGGCCAGCAAAATAAATTGTCACAAAATGTACACGTCTGCGACCACTCGTTAATCTAATATATAAAACATCAAAAGCCTGTCAAAACCGCAGTGACTACTGAATATGCTTCTCTGAAGAGACCTTGAACCATCCTCTTCAGTAGCAAGTGGACAACAATCTGTGCATCTATCCTGCAAATCTTACAAATGCTTTATCTGGGAGGGTATTGATCTGTATTTGATGTCTTGCAAAACAACAACAACGACAGAGAGTACATGTGTAAACTGTACAATAAACTGTTTGCGTGTCATGTAACTTCGGGGTATGTGAGACATTACATTACATTACATTACATGTCATTTAGCTGACGCTTTTATCCAAAGCGACGTACAATAAGTGCATTCAACCATAGGGTACAAACTCAGGAGAACAAGAAACAAGAAAGTGCAATTTCCTCAAATAAGCCAATTTACAATTTGCTACAGATGAGTGACGTTACAAGTACAATTTAAGTGCTACAATTTGTTAGTCTTTAGTCGAGGTAGAGTCTGAAGAGGTGTGTCTTTAGTTTGCGGCGGAAGATGTGAAGGCTCTCTGCGGTCCTGATGTCTTCAGAGAGCTCGTTCCACCATTTCGGCGCAAGGACAGCGAAGAGTCGAGACCTAGTCGAGTGTTTTGCTCTCAGTGAGGGAGGGACGAGTAGTTTTGCAGATGCAGAGCGGAGAGTGCGGGTTGGGATGTAGGGTTTGACCATGTCCTGGATGTAAGCTGGACCCGATCCATTCACAGCATGGTACGTGAGCACCAGTGTTTTGAACTGGATGCGGGCGGCCACCGGTAGCCAGTGAAGATTATTCACTTTTTATTCACACATTATTTTTTATTGTCCACTAACGATCACGAAGACAAGTTTTGGAGTGTAACGCTCAGTCGTCCTCCAGCAATACCAGCTGGTGGAGGTATTGCGCCATGTTGCCGTTTGCCTACCGGAATAAACCAGAAGAAGAAGAAGCTGCAGCTGCAATCGCAGCAAATACCCAAAGAAGACGAAGAAGAAGAGCTTCGTTATAACAACAGAAGACCAAAAAAGAAGCTGGCGTCTTTATGCTAATTTTGTGAAATCCAATTTATTAGCAGTATCAGCTTAATTTTGGAATCATTTTTGAAGACATCGACTTAACTGTCAACGGAACCCCGTTGTTACGGTATGTGTATTGCTTGCTAGCAGTGCATGCTATCGTTGTTAGCCCAATTGCTAGGTTCAGTTAACTGCCAAACTTTACAGCGCCCTTTATTACTACGACACACAATTCGCTTATTGTCACTGTGGTGTGAAGGACACAACATCAGTTACGCTTTTTCAAAATTGTATTGACGCTATGTGTTTAGCATACAAATAATATGTCAAATTAAGATGCAAAAAAGCCCAGAATTGTCATATGTGAGAAGCATTAACCTAAACACATCTTAATCAATTGTCTGCTCATGGTCTTTATTGTACTTTTGAAAGCCACAATGTCACCAATGATTTTTTTTTTGCAGAAAATATGTCAGAATTCCCATGCAAGTCCATTCCCTCTACAAATGAAACTCCCATCAAGGAATCACAATTGAAAGACAGTCCTGACTTGCTCAATGGAGTAAAAAGAGCTGTGGTGGTTCTGACCCGACTCCCAGAATATAAGATCAGCGCTCTGCGACCACCAACGCCGCAGCAGTTCTACAGTGAAGACGAGTCCCTCAGCAGCTCTGACTCTGATATGCAGTGGGAGCCAGAAGATGATTCTAGTGGTTCTGAGTTCTCACTTTCACACCATAAAAAGAAAACGGGAAAACACGTTGCTGCGCCACACACGAGCAGGACAAACAAAAACAACAACAACACCAACATCACCAATGGTAACGCCATGATCTGAACGTTGTCCCCACCATAATTTATTAATTACCCCCCACATTTGTTTACCGGAAAATACCCATGAAAATACCCATGAACTTGTAAAATGTTACAATCGCGCAACCTGATAAGTTTTAATATTTATTGTTGTTCCACAGTGTCACAGACTGCTCCTGTAATATTATCAGTCTCTGCACATTGCTCCAGTGAAACCACAAAGATCCGGCCAAACTTGCCGGAAGAAGAGCTCAAAGTGGACATGGTGGTCCTGGCCAGGAAGAGATCCATGAGATGGCAACGTGGAAAAATATTGGCTATAGTAACAAGAGGTAAGATTTGTTGGGGGAAAATTGTAAATTTCCACCACAAGAATATGTTTCTTTTGGGCGTAAACGGTGCCTTGCATTCAGTATGTCTCTAACACCAGACATTTATTTACATATTGTTATATATACTTACTGATGGTTCAACTTGGTACAAAGAACCTTTTGAGAAGAGTTTGATGTGAACTAACTAGTGTTCGACAGAATTTTGATGAATTAAAGTTAGAAGAATTGACTAGTTGGCGTGTTGTTATTTGCAGAAGATGGACGGTTGAAGTACAAAGTAGGTTTTGATGAAAAGGGCAAGAGCCTGGTGTCTGGCCACCACGTTGCCTTGGACACCACACCGAAGCTGGAGCAGCTGTATGTTGGTGCTCGTGTGGTGGTCAAGTGTCAAGACAACATGTTCCGGTTCCGGCCTGGTGTTTTGGCAGAGCTCCCCAGCAGAAGGAACCGCTTACGGTGTGTGTTTTAATTAGTTTAGGCGATTAAAAGAAACAAATACCTCCCTACAGAAAATCCAAATGCCTTAAATAAGATTTGATAAAAAACATACTTTGATTTTCTAGGTTCATGGTTTTTTTGGATTGTCACATGCCGCTCTATGTTGGTTTACCTTCACTTCACCTGGTGTGGAGACCACGTAAGTTGTCTTCTTCTTTCACACTTCTTTTTTTATTACACCAAATACAACTGTTGCTGTAAATTGTCATATCCTGTATAGGGCCTTGATTTATCTCTACTGCTGACATAATCTAGAACTGATTTACATTTCCCTGTTTTGTTGGTTTGTTCACTTTTCTATTTCTATTTCTATAATGACAGATAGTGCTTTTAAAGTACCCTTGTATAGTTTATTTTTGTAGTGTAATGTAAGTTTTTGTTCCCGATGTTTGCGATTTACCAACAAATCCCTATAAACCAACGTGTCTGGCGGAATCTAATAGCACTTTAAATTAACACTGCTGCTAATTTTGCCGGGGCTTTAAAGAAAGGAGAGGAGCAAAAGGAAAACAAGATTGGGGCTTTCAAAGAACTACAGGACATGCCTACTACATGGCACCAAAACATTTAAATGCCAAAACTATACTTTAAGTTGAAGCCTATAAAATGCTTGGTTTACTAAACGGGGTGTCGTGTAGCCTGCAAGATAGTAGATGGTTTCTTTAATACATTTCAATAGTACCCTTTTCCCAACAAAATGAGCAAATGTTCTAAATCTTTCTCCGTGTTCTTGGTTAATGTGTGCAGCAGTGTTGAAGCCCTCCCAATCCCCAAATAATAAATACAAAAGTTTCATGTTAACACATGATAAAATCATTGTTGGAGTTAATGAATTGCTACGTTCATGTATGGAGTTACAAAAACTGGCAACAAACTCCTTGAGCTTTGCCAGGACCAAAAGGCTCCCGTGACTAAAATCATCAAAACCGTTAATGTTTTTTAACTTATTGACATCATGACATTATTTGCAGTTTTTCCCCAACACTACGGCAGAGTCATTTGTCCCAGAATTACTGCAGATTGTATTGTGTGTTAGCGTTTATTTTTTGGACTGTGGGAAAGGAGTTCACAGTCCAGGAGTGTCACACCCTTTCCTTTTTTTTTTTTTGACAGTGGACAATGTTTTGGACGACATTCCGAACAGTCCTCACAGGTCTTTTATGACCCGATACCTGAAGGACTGGCCGTCCCCGCTTTTAACCCATTACAAGGCCGGGCAGAGCCTTAATGTCGAACTAAACGGAGCAAAGCAGAGGTGTGAGGTGCAAGTGGTCGATTGCAGCTTGATGCAGCTTCTTTTTCAGGTCCGTGTCACACACCACTGCAGTGATTTAAACTGTTGATATTTTTTTTTTGTATTTGTGTGTTAAAATGTAGTTGTTGTTGTCCCTCTCAGGACAATCAACATAAGGAGTGGATCCATCGAGGCTCGATGCGACTTGAACACATGGCTAGATTTTTGGGAATTGAAGGAGTGGAAGAGCAAGGTGATTCTCACTGAAAGCCCACCGACAGAAATAATAACAATGGTAATCACTTTGTAATATAGAAAACAGTATGAACAACAGACTTAAAGACAGAAGGAAACATTAAACCGAACATTTTCAGCTCAAAAAAAGAGAGAAATTGTAAGGTGAGCAAACATGAGTCAAAGATAACATTTGTTTAAATGCTTTGTTTGTTTTGTAATATTTTGTAATTGTGTCAAGCTATAGCTACAGGCTGGCTAGTTGTACACCATTAAAACCCAGTCCAGTCTACTGTTTTTACTGGTTGCAATCAAGATGCAGCCTGATCCTACAAACTGCACCTTAAGTTCAAACGAGCAACTTTGCATGTTGCAGACAAGAATTTGAGCTATTCGATTGTTTAGTTAAATTTTTAACATTGTGACCGGATGACATTGTAAAAAAATGCTTTTCATCAATTAAATAATTGTAGTGGTGTATGTTTCGTAGATCTTGACTTGGAAAGCTTTACATAATATTCTTCAATTGTACAATTTTATTTGAATGTGCCAACATCAACATCATCAAACATAAGGCACTTTTTAAAATATTGTATGTGTGAAGGTGCTGTGAGCAGATGTATTCACAGCACCTTGTGATGGAGTCGGAGAGCTTGTTCCACCACCGTGGAGCCAAGCGAATGAAACGTTTAGACCAACGATTCCCAAAGTGGGCCGCGGCCCACCAGTGGGAAGGTACTTCAGGTGGGCCGCAAGAGGTCATTTACAATAAATAAATAAAATGTTTTTAATTTTCAATTTTAAAAAGTTTGAAATTAATATAAAAATGGATATATTTATGATTTATGAAGAAAATGGTATACAAAACATACATTGTCGGTTAGTACATTTTTAATTGGTTAAATTCTTAAGGTCATTTAATCATCCCTAGTTTATGTTTTGATCAGAGTTGTGATTAATGGTTTGGGTGGGCCGCCAAAGATTTTCAGATTTCAAATTGGGCCGCAGCATTCTTGAGTTTGGGAACCGCTGGTTTAGACCTTTTACAGCGTCAATCTTTTGAAAGTATCACGTTGATTAGTTTTAGGACCCATTCTGAGGACGTAAATAAACTTTGACAATTCTGCATGTCTGGCTTGTTTGTTTAAAGCTGACACAATCTATATCAGGAACACGCTGTAGTAAAAAAAGGTTACTTAATTCATATTGTGTATAAACATTCACTTATATTGTATTATCTATTCTTAAAATAATCACATTTGATGAGAGCTTTGAATGAGCTGAGACAAACACGCCACAGTCTGAAGAGGTGTAGTTCCTCTGCACGGACACGTGGGGCAGCAGCGAGTTCACAGGATGGCGTCACAGCATGTGACGAGGAAGACGCTTCTTCACCAGACGCGGTGCCAGCGAAACACATGGTAAGATTTAGTAAACTAAAAGAGTCACTTTTTCAAGAAAAAAAACAATATCGCCCATCGGGTAACGAGTTAAGCAGCCACCGGTAAACGTGAGTCAAGTGACTTAATTACTTACCAAACCGAAAATCTCATTTTTGTGTGAAGTAATTTTTTCAAGCAGATGTCGATTATATATTTAATGCTTTAAACGCCCTGGTTAACTTGAGCGTGTTATAGAATATATAACCGGTTTATCAATGCCCCCCCCCTGTAGGCTGCGGCCAAACTGACCACCTCTTGGTGACCATGCGCCAAACTTTGTCCAGAAGCATGAGCAGCGTGTTGATGTGTTGCAGTGATCATGGAGGAGGACGAGATGGAGATGAGCACAGAGGAGCTTAGAACGTGGATCAGAGGGATGGTAATGGAGAACCCGCTGATATCCACAGGTGTGCAGGAGAAATGCAACCAGCTGCAATCGCTGCTGGAAAGGAGGGTGAAACGGGCTTCCCGCCTCGCGAGGCTCCACCAGTGAGTGTCATATCTGTCTGTGATGTCGCTTCTTGCATCAGGCCCGCCGTTTGGTCCCGTTTGGTCACACCTGTGAAACGCGGCTCGTTCTCGCTCTGGTTTTTGATACCGTGGTCGTGGACTACGTTTGATCAAATCAAAATGAAATGCACCTCTTACGGCCCGGGGGGCTTGTACAGCCCAAAAGCTAGTGTTCATTATTTCCTCTCTGCCCATTTTCATAAACCTTTACTGTACAGTTTTGGAGAGAATTAAAGATAAAGTCCCTTTCAGTGCACACGGATGTCTGGTGTGTGGGGGCGGGCTGTTGGACCCTTTTTTCTCCTCTGACGAGATTTCCCCTCACCTGTCGGGGGCCGAGGTGGGGCCCCGTGGTCGACGTACTGACCACGTTACGCATGCTCCGGTTCCGATGGAGTCGCTCCACCGGGGGTCCGTGGGTGGCCGCTGGGGGCTGGCACGGGTTGCGTTTGGACCCTCTGTCGTAGAAAACTGAGAGGAATGTATTACTGAGGGACAAAGTGGGGATGATAAACAGAGGAAACCACCGCTTCCCGGAATGTAAATGAAGCCAATGTGGCTGTTCTGAAGAAGAAATAAACAATGTTCTTAACATGTTTAGTAATGTTCTTGAAGTCTGTTGCATTATAACCTGTTTCATCTATCCATTCTAGCTAGGCCTAACAAAGTAATCAAATGCATGTATAAAAGGAGAGGAACAGCTTTTTAGTAAAATGTTTTTTGATGATTTAAAAGGGAAGAGTGTGCCGGTCCATTCTGTTTATTGGAATTACAGCTTTCATTCTTCTTTGCCTTTTGTCTTTGTTGTCTTTGTTGTTGATGTCTTTCAGGTCCGTGGCAGCATGTGAGGCGACGGTGAAGAAACTATACTCTTTGCTGGGGTGGGAATACAAAGACACTGATTCTGACGCTGATGATGATGATGATATAACAGGTAAGGTAAAAAAGTAGTCTTTGTATCGCTGTCAATTGCTAATTGCTTTGACGTTTTATTTTTTCCGTTGTAGGAAATACTGCGTCAGGATCTCCGAGTGGCCTGGCTTCTCTGTTACCAAAGCTACATAACCGTGAGAATCTCCATAGCGATGAGGGCAGAAAAAGTCTTGAGAGCGAACCGGTTGTGGTCCTGACCAGGCTTCCTACACATACGATCAGATCTTTTTCTCGCTGGATACCTGAGGATCATGACATTGCAGTAAAATCCTTAGACGTTTCTGATACGCTCTGGAAACATCGAGGTCTTTCAAGTGATTCAGATTTCGTTGTCCCAAACGATAAGTCTATGCCGAACAAGAGGAAAAAAATGAATAGAACAAATAAAAAGCTTTCCACAAGTCATGCGTCACCCAAAGCTAGCACTAATACTGAGGCCAAAGTCAACGTAACAACAACGTCACCACCCCAAACCAGTATAAACCGCAATGCCAATCGCAAAAGGAAGAGAAAAGCAGCGTCAACCGCAACATCAACACCACCAGGGACCACTAACGGTAATGGTCACAAAGACAAAAACTAACACCCCTACCACACAAAGAACATTTTTTGGCAAAAATTCTAATTCAATAATAATTAGACCTGAATGCTTTCATATTGCACCTTTTTGTGGATGAATATTTGAGAATGAAATGAAAACATTTGTTTTAAAACTAGTGTACAGATACTTGTGAATGTATTTAGTTTATGTTGTTTATGTTAATATGAACGTATCGTGTTTCTTTTTCAATGACAGGAGTAAGCCAAGTGGACATAAGAACTCCTCCGTGCCAAACCTCACCCAGAGCTACCAATCCTGCTCCCGGAGTGCTACAAGGGGAGCTCACGGTCAACACGAGTGTTCTGGCCAGACGGAGCGCCATGTGCTGGCAACTGGGAAAAATCCTGGAGATAGTAACAAAAGGTAAGTGTAGTTAACTAACTCAAACTCTCCAGAAAACCAGCTTCAAGAATTTCTTTGTGAAATAAAATGCATCTATAGTAAACATGTATAAAAACTAGGGGTGTAACGATTCATTTTAACAACGATTCGATTCGAATTGCGATTCATGGTTGCCGATTTGATTCATGGACGATCTGGATTAATTCAGAACAATTCGATTTGATTCAGTGACTTGAAATCGATTCAGTAACTTTACTGGACATTGCAGGCAAGTTTCTGGGATCCCTGGTGTTTCTTGTAAGGAAATCAGGTTTAAATTAATTATGGATATTATAAACAAGCAAACAACAATTAATGTCAAATGTATTAACCTTTTTATTTGAATCAAGTGCCATTTTCAATGTAAACATTACACAATGTTTGGATCAATTCACAGAACCCCGGATTTTCAACCTCATTGTAGGGTCGCATGTCCTTACAGATAAACTTGACAATTGTTGCTGTGATGTTGAGTTTGGTGCTGGTGAGGCCTGAGGAGTCTGCAGAGCTGCAGTTACCTGCTGCTGCTGCTGCAGCGGTGACGCTGCTAGAGGTCCTGACTGTCGGCGTTGTTTAATCCCACGGCGCCTTAGTAGATGGCCGGAAAGATTCGCCGTGTTTCCGTGTTTTTTTATTTGGCTTCTACATATTCTACAAACAGCGACCGACTTATTTAGAACACCTCTGTGTTTGCTAAAAGCCCAAATGTTTCCACGCGCTGGATCGATAAGTTGGTTTGTAAATGTCTCGCTCGCAGTCGTCTCCTCCACGCTGTGTTTTGTTGTTGTTCAGAGTTTCGCGCGGCTGCCGCTGCGTACTGATGACGTCACAGACAGGCAGACTGAATCGAGTAACGTTTAACGTGTCTAAAGTGCTAAAAAACAAACACACACATCCATGGCGTTTTTGTACTTAAATCCAATGTGCAGTTTCCAAGTATCGATACAATCGATTATGTACTATTTCAATCGATTTGTAATCAATATATGTCGTCCGGAATGCCGATTTGCGGAGCACAGATCGATTCAGTTGGATCGCAGGAATATAAATCGATTAATCGATTCAGTGAATGAATCGTTACACCCCTACTAAAAACTGGTACATATAAAAAATATATGGTACCAAAGGAAATGTGTCTTTGACACATTCAGTACCTGCTAACCAAATAATATTTACAGACAAACAGGAATTGCAATCTGTCATACAACACACCAGTACTCACCATTGAACATTATTGCAGTTTTTACAACAATGGTAAAACATCAGTGTAACTTCACGACTACGTTCTCGGCCACAACTCAAAGAAGTCATGTGCTAATAATGGTTTCCTCTCCAATGTCCAATGACATGAGTGTAAACTGCAACATTGTCACACAACTGCAAAGCTATAATCACTGTGTGTTTCCTTTCTTCTTTCTGGCAGAAGATGGTAGGTTGAAATACAAAGTACATTTTGAGCCAAAGGGAAAGAGCCTCGTCTCTGCTCACCACATCGCCCTTGACTGCCCGCCACAGTTGGATCAGCTGTTAGTCGGTACTCGTGTGGTGGTCAGGTTTCCACGAGACCAGCAGAACTTCTGCCCCGGTGTCATGGCAGAGCTCCCCGACAAGAGAAACAAACTGAGGTTTGTGTGTTCTTTGGATAACCGCTTAAGTCTTAAGTCGGTTTAAAATGTGTATGAAAATTGGTGTAAAAAGAAATAGTAAAAAAAGTTATTTTCAATTTCCAGGTTCCTGGTCTTTATGGATGATGAGAGGCCGGCGTATGTTGCCTTACCGTCACTTCGCCTGGTGTACCGACCATGTAAGTGTTGGTGTTTTCATCCACATAAACTGACTGTGATATTGCGTACACAAGGTCCTCTGATCAACATGATAGAAATGATAAACTACAGACATTTTAGACGGGTGACCCTGAATGGAAAAATCTATATTTTGAAACTTTTTTTTTTTTTACTCTTCCTTGTGACAGTGAAGGACCCTTTGGACGATATTCCAGAGGGTGCTCACAAGAATTTCATCAAAGGGTATATTGACGTCTGGCCGTACCCACCCAAGACCCAATACATTGTTGGCCACAAAGTTAATGCAGAACTCGATGGAGTCCTGCAGAGGTGTGAGGTGCAGACCGTCGACTGCAGCTTGATGGAGGTTGTTTTTTTGGTTAGTATTCAAGAACATTGTTCCTTGATCCTTTTCTCAACTGTATTCTTGGTGTATTTTGTCCTGCTATATTTATTAAGACTGCGAGAGACATAATTGTGTGTGTGTGTGTGTGTGTGTGTGTGTGTGTGTGTGTGTGTGTGTGTGTGTGTGTGTGTGTTGTCAATCTCAGACAAATCAACATACGGTGTGGCTCTACAGAGGTTCCCCGCGCTTGGAACACATAATTAACTTGAAGAAGCCCCCGGGTGTGATTGGGCCAAGAAAAAATCTCCAAGTTGATGGTAAATAGGATCGTAACATAACCTCTTTATTCAGGTTACTCCTACAGTTCCTTTCACCCCTTCTGCAGTTCCATGTCTTGTATATTTCAAAGTCATGAAAGTTGCTCTCAAAGTTTATACTGAAGTGTTCTGAGGGCTTTTTAGGCCCAAAGTGTCCTCTGGTCGGTCCTGGTTGAGAGCATTGTCATTACACCATAAGTAGTTATATTGTTGGTCTCCTGTTAGCCAGTATGGTTTTCTTTATTCCAGAGAGGCTAGTATTATTAAATGGTAATGGTCAAATGTGAGCAGTCCCCAAAATGCCTTGTTCTTTTATACTTTTATTTGTGTTGCTGTTATTGTGTTCTTAAATAAAAGCAAATTCTCTAATTTTCAACGAGTTTGTTATCTATTGTCGGGATCTCCGATCCCCCCGAGTTGGTTGATGAGAAGGATCGCGACACGTTAATCAATTAAAGTAAATAAAGTTAACATTTATTTAGAAGAGAAAAAGATTACATGAGCAATTCTCCTTAGATATATCTGGTCCAAGCTGTACCAAAAGAGTCTAATTATTGCCTGCAAGCAGGCGGTCGAATACACAAGCAGGTTTTACAGCATTTATACACACACAACAAGGTCATCCTCAGTGGCAGGTACGGATTATAATTAATAGACCGAAAAGGAAGAAACGCAGATATGAAAACTTTCATACCAAATGAGATATGAACCAAGGCCATGAACAGAAGTCCCTTTTGATTGAAGCGTCTATGAGATGGTGTTGACCGCCCTCCCTTCTCAGGACACAGCTGCAAACTAACATTTTGTATCATGCTGCTCTTTGCACGTCGGGGTCAAATACAGACACTTGACACACGGCTTTAGCAAAAGACAGTGTTCTAACATATTTTACCATTACATGCATCTCACACTATGAACTAAGAACTAAAACATTTATACCCAATGTGTGCTGCTGCTATCACTATTATTCTAAACATGAATCGCATTATTGCTGTCATCATAAACCAACATTAACGACTTATTTCTCCCCATTGAAGTCTTTCCTGTGCAGATGTGAGGGTTTCGTCGCATGTGCACAGACTGCACAGCACCCTGAGGCGAATTTGTAATTTGCGATTTTGTGGTATACAAAATAAAATGAATTTGATGAATTAATGAGAAATCAGATTCTGACTAAATTACACAACAGAAAACCAGTAACGTTCATTAAATATTCTGGCAAAATACATCTAATTATATGTGTCACATTTCGTACCCTCAAACTTTGACAAACTCACCATGTTGATTAATATGTGACTTAATGATATGACTGAGCGGTGGCTCGCGCAGCTTCACGCCAACGACGTTAACCGTCCTGTGGCGGTGGTTGACGTTTCTCCGGCGCGCGGAGGCGTCACCGGCGGTCTGAACCAGAACCAGCTCCACCGCCAAGGCAGAAAACACACACACACACGCACACACACACACACACACGGGCTCCCTGCTAGCAACGGAGCTTTAGACACCGAGCTAGCGAGAAGTTAACAGATAAACCCTGGAACGCCATCACGGATTTCCTGTGGGACAAACGCACGGGCCTCGCTGCTAAAACGGTAAATGTGACCGTGAGCCGCTTTGTGCCGCTGGGTGAGCAGAAGCACGAGCCCGCGGCTGGTGCGACGGCTAGCGGAGGGGGTCTGTTGTGCTAGCCGACTAAGCTAAGATGGCGGTCGAAGTATTTACGTTAGCTTGCGTTAGCGGCGCATGCTAACGGCCAGTGAGTTGCCCAGCGGTTCAACGCTATTTTGGCCGCTGGTATGTTGGTGTTTAGGAACCAGAGACGTGTATTCCCTGTGCTGTATGACCCCGGTGTTTACGGACATTAACGGCGTAAACCGTCAATGTCAATAACGCATCGTCTCGGCGATACAAGGTGGGAAAATGAGCTGCGAGCGACGCTCGTAGAAGCGCGTTAAGAACCGGAACCTCCTTTTAGTTATAACGTTGGCTTTGTTACCCTTAACTTAACGATACAAGGAGGCGAGTGACGTTACTGCCGACGTGAACTACCGCATGAAGCAGCGCTTCATGTTCGCGGACCTGCGGCGCGTTGTAAACGGGTGAATTAAATGCGACCGTGCAACAGGGTTCGTAAAACGCGTCCGCGGCTGGTTCCCCGTCGCTGCTCACGGACTCCGAGGCCTCGCAGTTCTCCGTCTTGCTGCTTTTGTTTGTTGCATTTGTTCTTGCATATCTTTGAGGTGTTGCACGCAGTGTTTCTGTGGTCGAGTGTAACGTTAGTTTAAAAGATATACCTACATTTATTTTACCACGCAAACGGCGTCAATCAGCACATTTGACTTGATTTGATGGAGCCATTTGATTTCTATTCAAGGGCAAATAAACTATCATTAACACTTAAATACGAATGAATGCATGTGCTAAAAATAAGTTTTTGTGCTGGTTAATCGGTTCATTCTATAACTATTATTTTCTAGCTTATTTTCTTGACCCCCACTACATACTTAGTGTGTGGCAGCAAACAGCAGTCTGTAAAAAAAAAGGTCTTCAATGATCCCACTTGGTTGTTAAATCCAAGCCTTATATGAACTTTGAAAGGGCACTTTCTCAAGTACGTTTTGGTTTCCACCAGATGCCTCACACAAGACGGTACTCGTCTTCGGACAGAGACAGTCGAAGCAGCTACCAAGACCGTTACAGAGACAGAGGGCGAAGACAGCGTCACCGAAGATCACCGTCCTTCTCCTCCAGCAGCGAAAGGGATCGAGACAGAAGGCCACGGGCACACAGACCGGAAGAAAGCTTTGTACGCTCAAGGAGGTATGTTTTTTTTTGTACGGTGAGGCATTTGGTTGAGCTGTCTTATATTCTCGTCGTCTACCCCAAGTACCAACTGCACATGTCTTTTCTCCGTCCATTTATTCAGCCGCAGCTATGACAATCGCTCAACCGAGCACCGGCCGTTTGACCGAAGGTACTGCGAGGGATACAGACGCTTGGATCAGACTCGAGAACAAGACCGCGACAGAGAAAGGGAACCACGCGGAGCGGCTGAAAGTTACTATCCGCGCGACTTCACCCCGAACATGTACGACTACAGACGCGGGCGCGTCAGGGAGCGCGAGCGGGAAGAGTCGTACCGGCGGAAAGGCAGCAGGCGTAAGCACAAACGAAGGCGGCGTAGAACCAGGTCCTATAGCCCATCCTCCTCGGTGAGTACAGCCAGTCCTGCGCTTGTGTTTTGACTCTCCTCATCCTCTTTCCTTCCATCTCTGTCTCTTCCAATCTGCTCTTTCTGTCTCTGTCTTTTTCTAATCGTTTCTTCCCCCACAGCCCCTGGAATCGGTAAGTAGTAAAATCTTTATGATTTGTTTTCATCCTTTTCGAGTTTTTTTTAGGTTTTTTTTTAGGTGGGTTTTGCTAAAATTGGCATTTCTTTTTGGCAGAGCATTTTCATTTTTATACAGATATGTTTTCAGTAGTTCATTAATGACCCAGCACTAATTCTTGATGCTCTACGGATACATGCTCATCGCATCTTTCCTCACTTTTTCTTTGAAAGCCTAGTTACGCCTGGTCACACTTCATTCATGTCAGTGGCCCAACCTACCCTTTTAATAAGATTTAACAGTGTATGTTGTCCCTTTTGTAAAAAGGCCTGAAGGCCTGTGGTAACAGTTGGTTTGCCACTTGTGAACTTTAGTGCAGATAGGCTGAAAAAGTGAAAATGTTCTACCAAACACGACAACTTTCAGGTTGAAATAGAAAGCAGACTTTTGTTAGACTTTGACATTTCAAATGTCTTTTATTTGTTGAATTTTTTTGTGTGGGTTGTATTTAACCCCACACATGTTTTAAGTAATTTAAATTGAAGGGAGCAATGGTTTGAATTGGATGTAGTATAAATGCTGGGGGTTATTTCTAAATAGTACCTGATTGATTACATATGGTCCCCTCATTTTATTTTCCTTCTTTTTTTTGCTCTGAAAAGTCAACCTCCTAAGTTTGCATTCGTTATATTACTGTTTTTGTTGTTTTTTTGCGTTGATGAATGGATATGCCAGTTGCTTCCCTGTTTGTAAGCAGCTGTGGTTTAAGATAAAGGGAGGAGAGGAGCAGAGGACAACATGTAATCTTTGACTTGTTCCCTTGCACTATATCCCTATCGTTATATATTTCCTTCACGTGGTGTCATGCGTGAATCGCCCCATGACCACCAAACCCACCTACAACCACAACTACCACCAACACCACCGCTCTCTTCCCTCCTCGTCTACCTGTGCGGCCTGACGCCATTGCTGCGGCTGCCCCTGAAAACCCCCCCGTTCCCTCCGGTTGTGTCATGACCTGCTGGCGGTTTGGGTGTGAAAACAGCGGAGCGACAGCCGGACGCGGGCACTGAGTGTGAGGGACGACGAGGAAGGGCACCTGATCTGTCGGAGTGGGGACGTCCTGCAAGAGAGATGTACTCACTGCCACTACTCTATCGTAACCATTCTCCATATGAGTTTTAAAGCATAGAGCATTTACATGACATGGGAGTGCCTGATGATGATGATGCCTCGCTAGAATGCTCTTCGCTCTAGCTGAAATGGCTGGGTGGATTGCAAGAATGTTGAAGATTTTGAGAGGGACTAGATGCCTTCTCCTTTTGGTTCTAGGATTTTAAGCTGTGGAGCATTTTCTGTGTTTCACAGGTTACTTGACCTTCTTAAACATAGAATCCCATTTGCAGACATTGTCCTTGTTGCGTTGCAGATTAACATTCCGTTACAGTTGTATATCTGTAACATAAGACCGCTATTTTCCAATGTGTCGGTTTCAGCGATTTTTTTTCCTTCTTTTTTTCTTCTTTTTAGTAGACGTCTAACATGCACATCACTTTTAATATCTAACCAGTGCACATTTAGACAGTGAATGTAACATGTTTGTCATTTTTAGTATCATGCAATGTTCAGTAGGAATACTAATCGTTTTTCTTGTTTTACACAACACCTTGTGTCCTTTGGAGCAGCAACATCTTATTTTTGATGACTGCAAATTGGTCATCAAAGGAATGGAGCGCTTTACATATATGCCTTTCTTCACATGTATCCTAGTGATGTGCACATAATAGTCCCAGATTTACCGTACACATTGTCTCGAGCCTGCCAGATCAAATAGGCAGCCATTCGAAAACGTGACCGGCGGTAGATTTGATTTCGCCTGTCTACACCTTTTGACTTTTGCATTCCTGCTTAAGTCTACATGTCTAATGCTTCTGTTCTTCTTTCCCCGCCCTCCTTCTCTCCCCCTTCTCTCTATGTTGTGTTGCAGATGAGATTGTCAGCACCTTGGGGGAAGGCACCTTTGGGAGGGTGATGGAGTGCATAGACCATCGCAGGTATGTTTCAGTTGAATCTGAAAAGGTGTGCGTGTGTGTGTTCTTTTCTATTGTTGACGGTTAACGTCGTTATTGTAGTGGTTTGTTTAAGTGTTTTTGTATTAAATCATGTCACTGTAAGTTTCCCGCTGACTGTTTTTTTTATTTTATGTCCTTATTTGCCTCATACTATATTTTATTTCACAGGGGAGGGGCCTCTGTTGCTCTAAAAATTATCAAAAATGTGGAGAAGTACAAGGAAGCAGCTCGCCTGGAGATAAATGTCCTAGAGAAGATCAATGAGAAGGACCCTGATAACAAATTGTGAGTATTGTTGCACCGCAAATACATTTTCTTTTAACACTGACTGAACCAAAACCATTTTCATTATTCAAGCTTGGTTATTAACTTAAATTCTCCAGTACGCACATTGATTGAAAATTATTTGATTTAGCCTAATTTAAGTGATTCACGACCTCACTGTAAGTCTTCCTGCGTTTTGTTTTTCTTGCAGCCTTTGTGTACAGATGTATGACTGGTTCGACTACCATGGTCACATGTGTATCTCCTTCGAGCTGCTCGCGCTCAGCACCTTCGACTTCCTAAAGGAGAACAACTACCTGCCCTATTCTATTGGCCAGGTCAGACACATGGCCTACCAGATCTGTCTCGCTGTGAAGTGTAAGTTAACTTTTTTTATTTATAATCTCCTTCATTTGATTTTAGTACAAAGTAAACTTTACGATCTGGAATAATGAATGAACAATGCAATTAATATACCAAATGTACTGTATCTTGCGAAGACATTAAATGAAAAACACAATTTGAGATTTTCAGTGTAGACCGAGACTTTAATAACCTGAACATATGTGATTATAAAAAGCTATTTTTTGGATCTTAATTTTCCCGAGATAAGTATAGTTTTGCAACAAACACACGATTGCTCCAATGAGGTGTCTTCATGAGTTTCTTACAAATTGCATCGCTATAGTGTATTTCTTATAATAATTCCTTACTATTCATTAGAAGCTATCCCCTAGTCTCGTATTATTGGATTTTTACTTTTACCAATGTTTTTCACTTTTTTAATAACTACACCGTGTGTTACTATGAACATTACAATATAATGTTAACAGTATAGATGTCTATTATAACATGAAATAGATGAGATCCCCATTTTTCTTCTCCTCAGATCTCCATGACAGTAAGCTGACACACACCGATCTAAAGCCCGAGAACATCTTATTTGTCAACTCAGACTTTACAATGTCCTTCAATGTCGAGAAGGTAAGAAGCAATAGATGGGGGGGAACCTTTCTTGTGTATTGACTTTAGTGGCTAGTCTGTTCCAAACGGAAGAGCCAATACAAAACCCCTTTTACTATGTTACTGAACACTGCAATATTGCTAATATACAGTATATTGCTTAAAGGTCTCCACCAACCCTCTAAAAAACAGTTGGACTAAGACTTTCTATAAAACGGCGCTCCTCAGAGATCCTATTTACATAATGAATTTTTAACTTTGTTGGAAAAGTTAATCGAAATGCAACTGATGTTAGAAACACTGTGTTCTTTCTGGCAGAAGCGTGATGATCGGACGGTTAAGAGCACGGCAGTACGCGTGGTGGACTTTGGCAGTGCTACTTTTGACCAAGAGCACCACAGCACCATAGTGTCCACGCGGCATTACCGAGCCCCTGAGGTCATTCTAGGTGAGGAAGGCAATGAAGAAATGGTTAAAGCACTACTTCTTATAATGGACTTTATCATTATTTCAATCTAACTGATGTAGTCGTGGAAATTCAACAGGCAAATCAGTTTGTTTCCGTCGTCAAAGGTCTGTTTGCTCCGCCTAAAGTTTACCTGCAAGTTCTTGCGTTGCGTTCTACAAGTTGATACAAGCATAGTCTGGTCTTTCTCTGCTGAAAATCCTTTGACAAAGCTGATGTCCCCTTTTAGTAGCATCGATCATACATTCACATTAGGTATGCAAGTTAAAGAATCCAAAATAGAAAGTGCTGCTTAAATCCGACATGATGTCATCACAGATGTCATCTCAGTGTTTCTCCAGCAGAGCGCGGCAGCACTCGCCAAGCAGCGCTAACAACCGCCCCGCATCATAAATACCAGCATGGGATGCTTTCTTTTTCAAACAGAAAACCGCAAACCTAACTAACTACTCCGTCCACATTGGGCAGGCGTGATGGTAAAGGTGGGCTGATGGGGGTCACGCTAATAACAAGCGCTAGAGCACACACTGCTCAAATGAACCATGGGGATAGCAGACTTTTCCTCATTCCTACTCTTCTACTCTGACTTGTTTTTGAGTCGGTGCATCTCCCGACAACCCCACGGTTACATTTTAGCGTGAATGTAATCTTAATATAAGCGAGGTAAACAAGTTAAGGGATCTGTCGAATGCGGTCAAAGCTCTGCCCAAAGAAACAGGAAAGGAGAGAAACTAAAATGGGTAAAGACACAATGGGCTGAGAAAACAAGTGCACATAAAGTAGGTAATCAAAATATTTAGTTTACTTTTGTTAGGCAATGTTCTGGGAAAGACTGAAGTTTAGTGTTGAAGACAGTTGATGTAAGGAACACAATGGGGCGAGCCGTGCACTAATGCCCTCTAGGTTGTTCTTTTATTGGAAATGCATGTGAACTGGATTGCCTTTAGCAGCTTAATAGCAGACACGTCTGGAGTAGTTTCCCTCCAAGACAGCGGCAACCGGAGGTGTTTAGTATCCGGCTCTCTGTCCGTCCTTTTACAAACTCATAGCCAAACAAGCTATATGTGACATTCGGAGGCTCAAGCTTAGAGACGTCCTGTAGTCCCGGGGCCTAAAGAACAAGATCGGGAAGATAAAACCACGTTTTGTGATTTTTCTTTTTGTAAGTTATTATTAAAACGAGAACTTAAACACACACAAACTCAATGTGACAAGCTTGCTGGTATTAATGGTAATGTTCAATAGGATAAAGGGGTGGATTTAAAAAGCAACATGACTGTTTGGCAGAGTCGAGCATCCACAAGGTGGGTGTGTTGTAGATGTAGTTGCTGCCATTGATTCAGCGCATGTGGTCGTCCCTCAGAGCTGGGCTGGAGTCATCCCTGTGACGTGTGGAGCATCGGCTGTATCCTGTTTGAGTACTACCTGGGCTTCACCTTGTTTCAGGTACACTCGCACCCTGCTGCTGCCGATGAGACCGCTTTAGGGCTTTTCTACTTTGGTATTTGTTAGCTCTGACTGTGCCTTTTTTAAACTGAATGTAACAGCAGAACCAGCAGTAGTTAAACCCTGATTATCGCACACTCAGTCTTTATGTGTCTTCCTCTTCCTGCTGATTCACGGCTGTGCAACTTGTATTTCTTTCAGACTCATGACAACAGGGAGCATTTGGCCATGATGGAGAGAATCCTGGGACCGGTGCCCTCCAGGATGATTCGTAAGACGAGGTGAGAGAACCTACAAACTCTGCATACTCATCAGTCAAAAAGTGCCCATGAACAAACATTCATACAAAACACTGTCCTCCCTGAACTGTCTCAGAAAGCAGAAGTATTTCTATCGCGGCCGTCTGGACTGGGACGAGAGCTCCTCTGCTGGGAAATACGTGAGAGAAAACTGCAAACCCTTGCGGGTAAGAGATGGCCGAAATATTCTGTTCTCGTGCAGTCCTCTTCATGAGTTTCTCAGCATTATTCTCTGCTTTTCTTGCTTTCTGCCATCAGCGGTACCTGCTGTCGGAGGCGGAGGAGCACCACCAGCTGTTTGACCTCATTGAAAGCATGCTGGAGTACGAGCCCTCCAAGAGGCTGGTGCTCGCCGACTCACTCAAGCACCCCTTCTTTGACAACGGGACGATCGGCGAGGCGGCAAGCGGCAAAAACTGGGAGGGCAATCGTGACATCAGCCGGTGACCCGAGAGCCTCAAAAGACTGACCGGGGAGATCAATACTTTTATATATGGAGAAGGTGAACTGTCAACCTAAACAGAGCTGCTGGAGTTTTCTGTTATTTGTCATTAAAGCATGGACACCGTAACTTGTTCCTCCTCTGCCGTGCACCTCTGCAGCCACGAGAGAGACGAAAATAACTCATAAAAGACTGGAAGAGAGATGGAAAGAATAAATCTTTTATAGCCGCCATAGCCTGAGCAGAGGAGGTTTGTTTGTACCCAAAGTGGCCCTCTATGCAGCTCCTGTCTTCCTTTTGACTTCCGAACTATCTTCTTCCCTTCCGTCCGTCCGTATATTTTCCTCAGCATGTAAAGGAAATCATTCACATTAATAAGGAAAGAAACACTACAAAACCAATTTCTACAAAAAGCCCAGTTTTGGAGAAGAAATGTCTTCCTATTGTGAAGTCTAAGGAAAGGGTGAAAAGGAGATGGAGCTGCAGCGCAGGTCCTCACTCGCATTATCCTCAACACGGAGACACGATATTCTATCATACTAACTTCCAATTAAATTTCATATTTCCTTGGAAAAAGTATTCCCAACAGAGACGAATGTCTTGGTTTACGTCTTTGTTAAGTGAACATCTCGCTCTGCAGATTGTTTTCCATGTTTGCGTTTGTCTAAGCGGATCGTCCCGTAAACCCGCGTCCCTGTTTGTGGGTGGATGGATCTGTAATTAATCGCCAATGAGTTGTTAATGGCAACAGACACTCCCACACACAGGCCTCTGTGCATGTTATTCACAGCTGTTTTTTATGTAATGCAACCTGTTTGTGTGTGCGTGCACACGAAGGGTTGGATGACGTTAAATCGCGCAGTAAATAGTCATGGGAAAATTATTGCATACTTTTAAACACAAAAGAGTAAACTGCCTTCTCCGTGTGTGATTTGGTCCGAGCTGAGGTCTCTCAATGAGGTTAAGCGCACAAGTCCTGGCTCGAGCCAATGAGTCTCTCTCACACACACACACACACACACACTGTTCACTCCTGTTGCTGGTTCTTATTTGATTTACAAAAGGTCATAATGCCCCCACCTGTACATTACTTCTTTTTTTTTGTATAAAATGAAAGCGTATAAAACTGTATATATGTACGATTGTGTAGAATTAAAGTTCAGTCCTCCTGACCAAAGGCTTGTGGTGCTGTGCGTGTCTTCACACAGCGTCTCTCACTGACTAGTGCTGATGTATAGAAGGGGAGGACAGCGTCTAAACCATTTAAATGGATCTTCATAAAGTCAATACAGATGAATATATTTGCTGAACTCCCTTGTGTTGACAGAACTCTCTTAAAAGTTGTCCTAGCTCAGAGGCCGGAGACGATTAGGTTAATCTACTCACCTGTTGATTCTGTTGCCAAAATGTCTTTTTTTTCTCTCTTTTCAACGGCTCTTGAAATATGAATTTTATTTGAAACAGCTTTGGTTTTGATGGCGAGTCCTCGTGGTGGTCACATGGTCAGGTATTGTATGTCACCTTTAAACTTCATCTCGTTGGTTAAAATACTGGCGGTAACTAATCGCTCTCTCGGCGCTTCCAAAACTTAAGTTAAGCCGCCGCCGTGTCGGGACCGGAGGAAAAACCCAACGCAGCAACGAGGCCGTCTAAGCTTTCCCATCTGCCGGTAAAGTACTGGCGCCGTCTTCACTCCTCTAAATGGCCCCATTCCCCCCCCGTCCCCTGTCCCGTCCCATCCCGTCAGTCACAGGATCACCTTTCTGTATGTAAAACTATGACAGGCCTTTTATACCCTTATCGCATACTTGCCCACTGTGACCTTACAGAGAAACAATATTTATGTGCTAATTACATTCCTAACCGCCTAGTATGATACAATAATGACTTTCTAGTCTTAATCACTTTTGGAAACATGCCATAACTTGTCAGTACATATAATGCAATGTATTTCATGACACAATACATAGACATTGAATGACATTGGTTGGCCTATTCAATTGTGACATTGAATAGGCCAAAAGTTAACTTTAATAAGTTAACTTTTTAATGACTTATTTAAAAAGAAGTGTAATACATTTTAGTTGCATAACACACAGCCTTTATTATACCATAGGATGTATTTTGATATGCTACACTATAAAGCTGTCAGATTAATGCCCTTTTTGACTCCATGGGGGGGCTGGAACTTCAGTGTTTCCTGCCAAAGTGTCGTTGTTTGAACTCTTTTGATAATGTCCAATGAAATTTGACTTTTCAACTAAGATCTGTGCGCTTACTAACACAAAATGAAAGATGTCAACAGTCAAATCTAAAGTTTTCTGGACCGTTGTTAAAGAGATAAACTCTTACGTGCTCAGCTAATCTTATTTGAGGATCAGCGACTCAAATCCCCACAAGATCAGGTGGTGACAGCGCAGCCTACATGTACACGTCCTGGAGGCAACGCAGCGAATACACACCATCGGCTGATTGTGTCTGATTGTGTGGGTTCTCCTTGCAGGTGAGTCCCATTGTTTCTTACAGGCGGGAGCAGTAGATCGTGCTCATTTGCACGGATTTGTAAGAGACAGAGTGTATTTGAGGATGTTCTTTACATTGAAATTTGGAAAAAATTTAAATGATGGCATGAACATGAAGGAAAATCTAGCGCGAGGACATAATTGTTATTCTTTGTTGCAGATACAAACCACCTTCCTGGTTTTTAGAAGCAGAGAACAACAAGGGCTTTCGGACTTTGTTTAAGCTTCTGAGGTGTCAAAGCCTGGGACGCACGAGGCAACTCCGGAGATGAACTCCATCATGTCGCTGGGCGCCCCTCTGAAGCAGTTCACCAGCTGTGTGTCGGGGACGCGCACGTCCACCAAGAGGGGGACAAAGGGCAGCCAGTCCGTCCGCAGAAGCAGCTTCACCCGCAGGAAGAGCGTCAGCAGGAGGAGAAGCCTCCCCTCCAGCAACCAGAAGGTTCCCGACTCCTGGCTCAGACTGTACCAGGACGACCTGCAGAGAGAGAGGCAGGTCACTGTTAAGAATGTTCTCCATACTTTGAGAGCGTGACAGCTCGTTAGGAGGACATCTAGTTAGCGTCTTGTTGTTCGACTCTTGGCAGGGACAGATGTGGATTAATGGCGATAAGGCTGTTCCTCAAACGAATAAGCTCCGTGAGCTGTTCCTAATCGCTCTGTGCTGTTTTTTTGTCCCAAAGGAAACGCCAACAAGCCATTCTGGCCAAGAAGAGCGCAGAGAGGACCGTTAGGAAGACTCACTTCAGGAGCCATCACTGCCTCCCGAGGGTAAGGGGACAATCCGGTCAAAAGGTGACAAATGCATTCAATTTGTCGGTGCATCAAATCTCACCATCATCGGCTTCTCTTCCACCTGCAGCAGACCAGCGCGGCCAGGAAACCGGCCCCAGTGAAGGACGAGTCCTTCTTCGGAGCCTTCCAAGGCCTCAGTCTGGACGGACTGCTGGGAGACGGGTCTCCCTCCGTCTCCATGCCCGCTGCTAACGGAGATCAGTGCAAAGTTATGTGATACTAAACCATTTAGGATGATCAGACGGTTCAAATGATCCTACAGCTGAAGAGACCTGAAGGACAAAAGGGCTCCAGGTGGAAGCAGTCTGGAGATGAAAATATGAAGACGTGCAACCACAAAACGTATTTGGTTTGCCACCTTCTTTTGTTCATGGTTAGGATTCCTTGCGGGGTGGTTTTGCATTACTCTGTATTGGTCTTTCAAAAATGTTTTGTTTTGCTGAATGAATACATAAAATTGAGCAAATCTGACACGTTGGCCTTTTTTAAAATTCAGTGTTCTCTCCGGAGCTGCTTTGATTGTTATAGTTTGAAAGCCAAAACAAACTAAACAAATATGGAATTCAGTGAAACATGTTCAAGACAGGCAGAACTAAGAAACAAAAAGCCAAACCTATTATTCCTGTGAACTCCAGCGCAGTCCAGAAATAGCTTCTATTTCAGTGTGTGTGTGTGTTTGAAACCAGTTAATAATCTTCACAGAAAACGCTAAGGTTTCTCCCAAATCCAATCATGCGCATCGGTTTACGGCAATTTGAGACTCCGCTTTGAAGAAGAGTGTGTGGAAGGCTTTAACACCAAGCTTTATTTAATTAAAAAAAATAAAGAACAAAAACAATCAATCACAAACCACATTATTCATCGCTTATGGAAGATCCATGTTTCTTTCTTACATGAGGCAGGTGTGATCTCTGGGCCCAGACCACAAATATGTACATTAGAAAACCAAGTACAAAACTACGTTTGTCAGGATGAGGAAATTTTCGTATGACAAGTATCCCAATGACTGATGACGACTTCACAGTGGACTGCAGACGACGAGATGAGGACACACAGAACTCGAGTTTTTATAAGGGTGGGTTTTAACCTAAAAGTCCCACTTTACAGCATCATTCCCTCTGTTCCATCTTGACTTTGGGGGGCTTGAGGAATGACCGGTTCTTTTTCTCCTTGCTCTTCTTGCCTTTGGCCTGGAAGGTTCTCCAACTGTCCACACGCCCATCTCGTGTTTCCTGACAGGTTGTTACAAAAAAAAAAAAAAAAAAAAAGTTATTTAAGAGATAAAAGCAATTGTGTTTGAGTGTAAAAGTAACCACGGTTGAGGGGGAACACACCTCAAAGTTTTTCTGCCATTCTCTGTCCCGCTTTGCTTTCTCTGCCGTCTCAATTTCTTCCTCTCTCGCCCTTTTCCTGGTGAATTAAGAGTGGAATAAAGAATAGTTTATGTCCAAAATGGCATTAGTTCATCCTTTAACTCTTAACTAGACATTTGGGGTAAATTGTCATATTTCATGTAAAAATTATTGAATTAGTGCCACATCTCCTGAAGTGTTGCGATCAGGAGAACGGAACGCACGCGAGGTCACAGTGATCTCGACACGACGCTTCAATCCAAAGTTTGGACGTTGTCATTTACCTTTCGTGCATGTCCTTTGCTTCCCTTTCCTTCCTCTTGATTTCCAGCTCTGCAAAGAGCTTCATGGTCTGTTTGTACACGGCTTGCTTGAACTGGGGAACAAAAAAGACGTTACGTCTACTTGTTTAACCCTTATTTGGTAGCATGACAAATAGTTGCCATATGAAAATTCATAAATTGTCTAAAATGATTTCATCTTTTGACCGCTATAACCAGTTACTATCTTAAATGAAAAATATCTAATATTTTACTTAAAAAACATGTTTTTGTTAATAATAATTTTGATTTACCATTTCAGGGTCGTCCTCCTCCATATCCAATGACTTCCCATCCTTCTTTAACTGTTTCTTTTTCTCCTTTACCTGTCGGGATTAAGTATTGGCAGAATATAAAAAGTTAGACAAATGCGTCTGCGAGCCGGGTAACGTGGCAGCAAATGTGTCCAACACTCACGTAGTGCTCCACATACTCCTGTCCCGCATGGATCACATCCAAGGCTCTCTTCCTCTGTTCCGGCTCCAGCAGCAGTTTGTAGGCCTTGTCCACAGCTACAACAGTAACACATTCGGGGGAAATTAAAGATCATTTTTTCCCATCTACTGGAAACATGCGCAAAGAAAGAACAGGGGTCATTTTTTACAGTATCAATTGTCATCGTCCAAAACACAAATTGAGCAACATGAGACTAGTTCTTTAAAGGTAGATGGATGTAAACGTAAGTGTAAAGACTGTACCTTCAAAGGCTTTCTGTGATCTGACTTGATCATCTTGATTTTTGTCTGGATGAACCAAAATGGACAACTGTAGAGTTAAGAGAGACCAAATGTTAGGACTTATAATTATTATGGCACCATCACCGTCTTCAGAGGAAGCTGCCTGAATGAAGACTATAGCTCACCGCCCGAAATCTTTTCTTCAATTCATCATCTGTTGCCTCGGGATCAATTTGCAGCACCTGAAAATGATTTTGAACAGTGTTACGTTTATCCAAAGAGAATCAAAAGACACATGAGGTATTTGTCTAACTGTTTTTGATGAGTGGAGTTGTTTTTAATGATACGGTTTTGGGAAACACACATTTATTCAACATTATGAAAGAATTTAATTCTGAATTTTGCTCTTGTGCATTGATTTTGAAAGTAATTTATTATCATTACTTTCAAAATATGACGCATGTCACATTTAATGTCTATATGAATCAATAATTGAGGCAATCTGCTTATTGATCAAACTTACCTTTGGGTCTAGTAACGTAACATCCAACAGGATTAAGGAAACGTACACAATGTGTAAAATAGTTACCTCAAAAGGATTAAGATTGAAGTAGGATGACCCGGGTCTGAGCAGCCTCTCGATCTGCTGCTTGGAGGTTAACACAGAGTCCCTCTTCTCAATCTGCTTCACCTGTTAACAGAGACAATGATCAAATGTCAAAACACACCCAAAGTCTAAATGCAAAGTCCACCTAACGCTGCGCTTTCTGCTGCTGGTGTTTTTAAATATGCCTTAGAACTGATGATGCAGTCGTTCCGCCAGCATTCAGGAGTGAAACTTGTCTAAACGGCAGGTCGCTGCTGCTCGTCGGACCCCATTCATTGGATAGTGCGAGCGGGCAAAGCGAAACGACTCGCGCCGCTGCGACCCGCGGAGCCGCCGCCCGTCGGCCCGGAGAACCCCTTCAAGTCGACAGACATTGGGGTGACTCTATAGTGACGCTGAACCATGTTTGGCGGTGACCCGACAGCAGACGGACGGGTCCCCCTCGCAGTAAACGTTAGCTTCCTATCGCTAGCTGACGGTAACGTCTGCGAGGCCCGTGAAGGCTGCTCGGCGCGGCGGCTGTCCCGCAGCCTCGGCCGGTGCACGAAAAGAGCGACCGACGCGGTAAGAACACAAGAACTCACATAAGAAGCATCGTACCTCCGTGTAAAAGTTTTGAAACAATTCATCCGACACATTTACGGTAGAAGGTTCTCCTCCGGCGGCCGCCATCTTCCCCCCCCGATTTACATGTGACGTAGTAGCATCACGTGACCACGAGCGCTACTTGACGCGAATCGTTGACTTGCGAACGCTCAGTAGAAGATCACCTCCATGAACGAATGTAACCGTGTTTTACATTGTTTTATTTGAACTGGAATTAGTACAAACGGAAGGTTGCTTCAGAAATTGTTTCATAGGATAAAAAAAAGGATTAATAATAATAATACGTGTCAATTTGCAATTTCTCCCAACAAGTTAAAGTTAACGTTGTTTTGATGCGCATAATTCATTTAAAGAACCACCCAAAAGTACAACAGCATACAGCACACCCTTTAAAATAAACCACAACTATGGAGAAGGGGAGAAGTATGGAGAACAGATCAGTGGAGGTAGATCTCCAATAGGGTTACATTTACATCTGTGAGACTGACAAAAGTTTCCAATAAGAAACCCGTTCATCTAACATAAGAACAACTACTAAACTTCATAACAAGCTCCGTGACTTTTTGAGGACCACAGTAGAAGTTGTGCACATGCTGTAGTATTTAAGTGACCACTAGGTCTATGTGAAAACCAGAATAACATACATACACAAACACGCATTTACTTGGGTAATAACATGTATTGAGAAATTAACAGCAACAGATCATTTCCCTTTTAATAATTGATTCTTTAAACTGTTAAAGGCCGGGCCGTCTGCTGGATGGCGCTCTTGATTATGTCCATCTACTGTATCCTCCTAAGCTTCTGGAGCAGGTGGAAAGACATTAATCATTAGAATAACAGCGTTTCTCAAGACTAATGCACTGAATTCATAACTACGATGAATCCCAATGAAGGTCGTGACAACATTTTGTTGAAAAATCTAAATCAAATTTGTTTTTATTGTGACATTTACATGAATCAAGGTTTTGGAGAAGCTGGTCCAAGCAACAAGAATACAAACCTATATTTTCTCTACTAATCCAAAACCGCATCCTCACCTGTGCAGTCTGCAGAGCCGGGAACAGGGCAGCCAGTCTGTGTTCAGTGAACACTGGCCCCGAAGTGCACCGCCCAGCAGGTGGTTTATTCTGCCGGTCGAGAAACCCTGCGACGCTGCCGGCTTGCAGCTGGTTGAGCCCGGCCTCCCGAATCAGAGCTGGAAAAGGCCACACAGACGAGGGCATGTTGATACGACTCGGTCAATCAGCTTCTTAGCATTTACACGACCATTGATACCAACAACATGATCAGAGAGATATATCGTTTGGCCTTTTTCATCATGAAATGTAAAAACAGAAGAAAAATAAAGTGTAACAAAACACATTATATATATATATATATATATATATAAATAAATAAAATCAACTAAACCCCAGCCTACAGAATTAATTAAAGATCTTGGAAGTAAAAGGGTCATGAGATCAAATATAGGTTGTCATTCATCAACATGTTGATACCTTCTGAGCATTAGTACAGATAATGAACAATCTTACCAATCAGGCCCTTCCATTAGTGTGAACTCAAGTCACATGGATGGGGTCTGCGCCTTTACTGCCTGGTGAAGAGAGGCGGCACATAAAAGATACAATTCTGAAATGAGAAACTGTAAAAAGGAAACTCCAATGTGATGTCACTTCTATACAAACCAAAATATGCAATAGAGTGAGCTTTCTGATGCAATCCTGTGCTCCCTGTTTCAGTCTTACCTGTAGCACTACTACTGCCATCTGGTGGCGTTCAAGGAAACACACATCTGTTTTGAGGTACAGCCATTGTTCCAACGTCAGCCAAGCTGATCAGTTTTTCATTTCGTATTCCTACTTCTGTTTCAATACATTTTAACATCTTATCTGCTTAATGTGTAATAATTTACCTTTACAGCTCAGAAAATGTCCAATAAGAGCAACGTCGGATAAATGAACAATGCATCTGCCAGCCGTGCTGGTGTGGAACGGCTACCTCTAGTGGCACCGGAGGGGGAAATACTCACCACCCTCCGTTCACAGAATGTGTGCAGGCAGCTGAGGTGGGGTTTTGGTGCAGTGAGCAGAGACAAGGAACAGATGTTTGCAGGTTTTTGGGAGTTTATGGCGCCTACGAAATCCTTGACTGTTTGCCATCCCGCTGTTCATTCCAGTCTAAAGAAACATCCATTTGTGTACAAATGTGGGTAGGACGTTTCAAGTGGCCTATAGGGGAAAAATATGCACCGCTGCGGAGGAAATGTACACTGCTCCCGCGTTCTCTAAACCCCACAAACATAAGGGGAACACAATTATTTGAACATTGGCAACGATTCTCAAGTCAACTTCAGGACTTGTGTTCTCCGTATCCTGGGAAAAACGAGGAAATGATCACGCTACCCACTAGCAAGCTTGATTCGCTGTGCAGTTAATTAGCCAGGAAACAATAAAAGGAACACTGCAAAATGATGGCTGGTGTTTCTCCAGTGACTACAAATAGCTAAAGGAGAGGAGACAGTACTCTGTGCAAGGCTAGCTCACCCTTGAGTACCGTTCAGGTGAGTTCCTCATTCTACTGGTGCCGCTCTCAATGCTCCTCCACCTAGGCAGGTTGGAATAAGAGGACAGACACATGAAACAAAATACAATGATGCCGTGGTACCAAAAGACAACACACTTTTCACAGTAATGGGAGTCTGACAGGTGGTCACTTGCTATGGCAGAAGGCAGATTTTAGAATTTTAACCCTCTGGATGGTCAGATCCTTGGTGTCCTCGAAAAGTAGAGCAGAGAGTTGAGATGATGTGCAGATTTTTTTGAAAAAATAAAAATAAATAAAACGAATTGGAAACAGCTCAGCACACAAGAACAAATCATTCGGTCAAATGTGTTGTTCTAACTGTTGTTAGGAGGTCAGTATCAGGAGCATACCAGTGCAAGTGACGCTTCACCCGTATACAAGACTGTCCATGCCTATAAAGTTTGTGTGAACAGGTAAACATAATATATGCTTCAGTAAATATCAGCCTGCTGTAATAAACTCTCTTCATGGCATAACAGGTGTAAAACATCAAACAAACTCAGGACGCACAGCAAGTTCACACCTGTGAAAAGAATCCATGGTTTCTTCTACTGGATTACTGTAAGCATTCTCAAACTTAAATACTTACAAAAGTAATTCACCTAGCGGGAGCAGTCGGCGTTTTCCTTTTCTTCTTGAATAGTGGAGAAGAGCATTTAGTGTGGGCAAACTCAAATTCACTAAAGCATACACAGTTTACCTGTAGACACAAACTTTGAAAGACAGGTACTCGAGTGATGATGGAAAGTCAAATTTGCTAAAGGTTTGGTCCTCAACACTAATTCTAATATTCACAATTGACTGTAGTCTGTTGTAAAATAATTAAAATCCTGTGTTCATCCAGACACTTTGCAAATTCTCCTGTGCAATTTCAGTCTTTTAGATGATCTGTTGAGACAAAAGAGTCATACTTGGATAAGAAGATCTTCATCCAGATACTGGAATTGATAATCAAATACCGAATGACAACACTGAATTTGAGTATCTGACAATTGACTGATGCTCAGCTTAGGTTTTATTGAAACGGAACAAACGTAAAAGTTATAAATACAAAGAACATCAGAACAAACTGCTATGGCTCTTAAGGTAAGCCAAACCAAATTCTATTGGGCAAGTTCAAAGAAAACATAGGAAGTTATGGTATCAGTTTAAAAAAAAACACAATTTGTCTATTTCTAGAAATGCTAGCATACACGTTGAACATTACAAAACTTTGATTTCCTTCCTGTGGATTCTTTTCTCCACCATTGCAAAAAATGAAGTATGAAGCTCTAACCATATGCATTTATTTACAAGCAAGTCCCTAAGCAACTATGAGAAACCACAAATAAAGGGAGTACACGAAGGGGAGGGAGGAAAGGGCATGGGCAAAAATGTCCTCCTAGGCAATAACCCTATTTAATGTCCTCCCAGACTTTTGGAGTGCGAATGTCCACTTTTTGGGGAAACCTTCACTGTTGGCGTTAATAGGATCAGGAACAAAACGTAACAATAAAAGTGTTTTGTGTGTGTGTTTTTTTTTGTTTTAAAGACACATGTCCCAGTGTAACCGAAGGATAAAGAAATGATTCACCACAACAGTTACGTTCCCTTCTTCAGCCAAAAGGCTTTCCAGCCAATCATCTCGAGCCAATTCTGGGGTCTGTCCGTTTTTTCTGAGATATATACAGATTTTTTTTCATGAGGGGTCAAGGATAAAAAGTCAAAAAATTGTGGCCAATCTCCTGTTTTTTTGCTCTTTTCTTTCTTTTTCTTTTTTTTTGTTTACTGTTTTTCCTCTTTTTTTTGTCCCTTTGCCAAATACCTTTGGGTGCATCTACTTCCACTGCTGCCCATAAGAATCCTGTGAAAACTCCATGGTGTCATTACTGTAACCATAGTTACCGGAATAGTCGGCCCCCTGCTGCAGAGGCTGCTGGGCGATGGGCTGGGACCCCCAGTTCTGTTGGTTGTTGGTCTGGCGGCGCTTGGAGTCAGGCTGGTTAAACACGTCGGCCTTCCTCTTTCCGCCGACGTTACCGCCACGGTTGCCCCTGGCCCCGCGAGGACCGCGACCCCTCTGCGGCTGGAAAGGTGCTCCACGCCCTCCTCGGCCGCCCCTTGGGCCACCAAGGGGGGGCCCTCTCTGGGCGTAGCCCCCCCGCCCTCTTGCCGGGGGTGCCCCACGAGCTCGAGGTGGAGGAGGTCCGCCCCTGCTGGGACGGGTGCCACGGCCCCTCATGCTGTACACATCTTCGTAGCCGTAGTAAGGGTCTTCATAGCCGCCACGGTAGTCATGATAGTCATAGCCATAGTAGTCATCGTAGTAGTCATCGTATCCGTAGTAATCGGACGGATAGGCATAGCCCCCACGGCCACCGCGCCCCCTGCCTCGGCCAGGTGGGGGCATGCGTGGGGGTTGGTAGTAGTAGTAGTCATCATACCTGCGGGGTAGAGGGTATAGTTGCATTTCGGGGTTTTTTCTCATGAGAGAAGAAGTCGGGCAGGTGACGAGTCACATGTCTGCGTCCCTCACCCTGAATTCCTGGTGGTCTGACGAGCTGCTTGGCGCTCTTTCCTCTTCTTGTCCGGGGGCTTTGCCAGGACTATCTCGATGTCTTCTCCTCCTAGTTCCTTCCCATTCATCTCATCCATTGCCTAAATAAATAAAACAATCCATGACTGCATCGTCAAATCAACAGACATGCTAAATATTGAGTACAAAAGCATGAAAAACGCACCTTTACAGCAGAATCCCTTTCTTCAAAATGGACAAAAGCATAGTCTTTCAATTTCTTCACTCGCTCCAGCTTTCCAAACTGGGAGAAGGTTTTTTCAAGGAGCTCTTCAGTCACTGCTGTGGCTAGTTTCCTAACAAAGAGCACCTTGACCTAGAAATTCAAAGAGACGGGACATTTGTTACACTGCAGGAGGGCGCATGTTTATGTTCTAAAAAAGGACCGGGGGCATTATGGTTGCCCCCCCAAAGACTCTGCCGGCAGCTCATAGCTAGCGGTGCAGACAAAGCCAACCATGTTCAGCCGGGGGGGGGGCTCTCCGTGAGGCACACTCTGATGCACTAACCCTCACCGACAGGCACAGGTGTGCACCAACATGCACGCACACAACGTAGGGAGAACGACGTTATTCTCTGTGCAGCGATAACTGCTATATTCATGTTTAGAATTTTAAATACAGGTCCTTTGAAGAGAAAGACAGAAGACCAACCTTGGCCATGACCTCCGGGTCTGGCTCAGCAACAGGGTCCGCCCACTCCACAGTGACGGGGTTACCCCACACTTTGACCTTGCCACTCATCAGGCGGCGGCGGGCCTGTGCTGCAGACTTGTGATCCTCGTACTCCAGGAAACAAAAGCCGCGGTTTTTCTTCTTGTCATCTGGCTGGTGGTACAGTATCACCTCCTGGAGACCCTCTGCGCAATAAAAAAAAACATCACATCTAACTTTCCAAAAGTTGTCATGTCGATCATTCTTATAACTGAGGTTTTTTTTAACAGGTGCAGAGACAAAAGTTTCTCTTTTTAAACTGACCTGTAACTTTCCCAAAGTCTTCCAATATACTTTCCCTTGTCTTGTTCTTTGGAATTGATCCAACAAACAGGCGATTGTTTGCAACAGATATACACACTCCCAAGTACTTGCCAGGGCGGATTTCATGGTTATCACACTGAAAATGAAATGGAGAGGCCGGAAACTGTGAGACTCATTGTACATAAACAGTAACGTAAAGCATTGAGCAATTTGAAGCTGTATTTGTCTTGTTGGTCTCATTTCAAAATCTCTAGAGAGTATTCCTTTAAAACTAACTCTTCTTTCATATGTCTTGTCGTCCATTGTCGTACTGTCTGCTGTTACGCACCAACAGCCAAGTCAAATTCCTTGTATGTCTGACATATTATGGCAATAAATGTTTCCTGATTGCTGATAGGGTTTGAAATTCTTCATGCAAAGCCGTGCTTTTCTACTCACAAGCTTCACGGCCTTTTGTGCGTCATCCTTATTGCAGTAGGTAATAAAGGCGTAGCCTCTATTCTGACCAGAGAGAGGGTCCATCATTAGCCTGAGGTCCCAGATCGGACCAGCAGACTCAAAGAGAGGAACAAGCTCATCTTCATACAAATCTCTTGGGATTTTTCCGACAAACACCTGATGAAGAATAAGAGAAACGGGTGAAAAGGCGCAACAATTTGTGTCCAGTATGTAGTATGTTCTGCAGGATTCTGAATGATGACAGACGTAGATAACCACAAACAAACAATAATGTATTTACCTCAGTTCCAATCCCTGGTTGGATTCCTTTGAACACGTCCTCAGGCGGGGGACCTCCATATTTTCTCTGCCCCGTAGTGACATCCAGGGTGTATCCGGTCCGCTCCAGTAAAGCCTGAAAAACAAAAACAAAAGCGTTGACTGAGTGGCGTAACTGCAGAGGCATGTTTATGTTTTCAGATGAGATTATTTTATTTACCTTTATTTTTGTTTCATCTGGGCCCTTGGTGGACTCTTGTACTTTACTTCCTTGCTTTTCTCTCTGTCTGTAAGTCTTCATCACTCCGCAAAGGAAAGCACTTTTATTCTACATTAAAAAAAATGTGAAAAAAGCGTTAGGATACTTATGAAATGTTTTTTTAAATAAGAAAAGGCCTGCAACTGATGTATGTGTTACCTGTACGTGTGACAGGTCGCTCTCTTTGAATTGTTGCAACACAGTGAGCGCTCCCTCCTCATTGAACTCACGCAGTGCATCAATGGCCCTTTCGTCTAAGTCAACATACTCCACCAGGCCTACAACAACAACAAAAACAACAACAGCGCGTTGTTAACTACCACACTCTGCAATGCAAGAAGTCACATCTCTTAAAAAGGTCTCTTGAGTCCAAACAACTACCGCCCACCTGTCTGGAAGATGTTATCTAGACTTTCGGCTACTTTCTGAGGAAGCCCGGCGTCGACGAGCGTCTGGTAGTTCTCGGTGTGCGTCGCGGTCACGTCCATGGGCTCCTCTTCCTCCTTCACGGGAGCGGAGCTGCCGTTCACCTCGGCGGCAGCCATCGTCCTGGAGATGGGCAACGAATGCAGCGCGGGCTAAACACCGGAACGTGTTCTCCGTGAGAAGGACGGCGGGCTCGGGGACTGGGATCAGCACGATTCCCCAAAAGAATGTAACGTTACAATGAATCTGGGTACAACCACTTCAAGGCAAATTGTTTTCAACCGCGGATCGTGGACGTGATCGGACATTGAGTTGACGGCCCGTTTAAGTTCACAACAATCATTACTGTAATAAATAAAAATAGCCGTGCTTTTTTTTTTTTAAACCCCACAGTCGACTAGGAATTGCATTTGCTAAAAATATCGTCGGTGACGAGTCGACAGGCAGCTATCGCGCGGTAACACAACACGGTCACCGCGGAGCACCGACCGCTACCGACCCGCCCCCTTCACGTGCAGCTAGCTTCAGACGCGGCTTAGGCGCACGTTTACACGCGCGGCGTCTCGCTGGCGGGCGCAGCTTCCAACGGGCAGCTGCGTTTTTATAATTTCAGGGCAAGGGGGGTTTCTAGAGCTAACAATAACACTGGTTTGCAGGCTAGCTGCCGAGCTCACACTTTAGGCCTCGCTGTGCAGAAAGACAGCGTCCGCGTCCACACACACACACACACACGCGCGCGCGCGCCTCGAACGAGGCGCGAACAGATAGTTAGCCAAACTTACCGGTCTAATTCGGGACACTAACAGAGGCGTGTGATACAATGTGGAACGATTATCTTGTCACGCGTACAAAAAAAATCCCGTATGTATAATGTTTTAGTCTAAACCACGACACAAATTTCCAGACAGCTATAGTCTCGTCGTCGGCTCGCCCGAACAACGCAAGCGCTCGGCAATCATCGCGAGATGTGACCAATAGGGCGCCGAAGGGCGGGTGTGTTCGTTCTGTGTTCGCACGCAGCCGCGTCAGTGCTCGTGTTTGAGTCTTTCTGTAGCCGATCTAACTTTAAATAAAGTGCAAACACAGTCTTTGCGGTTACCCAAAGTCATCTTGCAAAATTTATGGGATCTACGATTGCTTTATAGGGTATGAATGCAGCTTGGACATCAATCGACCAATGCTAGAGAGGAGAGTTAAGGTTACATCAGAGCTAAGCAGCTACCGAAGCGGGAAGCGCGCTGAGTCGAAGCGAGCGCTCCATCAACTACTACGCTACACTGTCTAACTACTGACTTCATCTCGCCTTTGTGCAGCTTCAGACAAATTATTAGAGAGACTAGCATTGCTCAAATCCCTACACACAACTGACATTTGACATCAGGCCGTAGGCCTACAAAGATGCACAGACATGTTCAAAAGCTTTCATTGAATGTCAAAAATTAAGAGCTTTATTGGTATTAATGTCAGTATAAAGTGTATTCAGGACCGGCCTTGACAAGCAGTAAATAAATCAAAATATAGATTTTGATTGACTTTGCAATCAGATCGATCAGAAGGCAAAATGCCATCAGGCTTCCCGGTGTTAGTCGTCATGGTTCAGCTTTCTGATTTTGCCCTTGTGACGGTCAATCTCCTTTTGCAGGCGCTCAATCTCCTTTTTGTGGTGTTCAATCTCCTCCACATGATGCTTCCTCAGTGCCTCCATCTGCTCCTTCTCTTTCTGCCTGCAAGTGAAAACACAGTAAAGAAAAACTGTCATTGGCAGGTCCCTAATGGAATGGCTGTTGTTGTGTTTTGTTTTTTTTTTTACCAGTGGCGATTTTTTTTGGGAGGGGGGGGGGGGGTTCTATCCCCTTCCACTAATTTTCCTGGGAATGTTATTTGGACTTGCATAGAGCACCTTTCTACTCCAGTCCTTTGACTATTTTAACAGCTGTCTGGGGACCCTTTTTACATTTTTTTTCGGGGGGGGGGGGGGGGGGGGGGGGGGCATTTACCTGGTTGGTCTCATCGGACTGCATGCCCCTTGTCCCTCACCTGAAGTACCGCTCCTCTTCTGCCACTTCTCGCTTTCCAAATGCGCCCCCAGCCGCCCTCACGGATCCTCCGCCTCCTCCACCTTTGCCTGCGCCCTTTCCCAACTCGCCAAGCTGGAAGAAACAGAATTAAATCCTCACAATTTGCTCATAAATCACCATCGCTGTAGGCATGCGTGTCTGCATGGGTGGACGAAACAGTACATATAAAAATGTCTCCTATTTCATTGAGTGAACCTAACAATACAACTAATCATTTATATCTGCTCATACAAAAAAACAACAATGTAGTGATTGCTTAATCTGCTCTGGGAAAAAAGCAACACAAAGACTCATTGTTATGCAATCGTTAGACGTTCTCTGCACAGAAATCAACCCCATCGCTCTCTCGAAAGCCAACAATGAAGCATATTTCACGTATTAAGTATCGATTTCCTTGCATGCATTTCCATTTCAGGCTGCCTTCCCGCAAGATTCCGACTGAACAAGTCAACTAAACGCCACCTTTGCCCGATACCAACAACTTTACTGATATTAGCACGCTAATGCTAACAGTCAAGAAGCCAGCTGTCAAGTCGCGTTACCTGATCAGACGCGCTTCTTATTTGCGAGGCGACGCACCTGCGCGCGGTCGCTCCGAGGAGGAACCTCGACATCATGCGATGATTTTCCCGAGTTCGGCTGCGAGCACGCAGAGGCCACTGTGGCGTTCCTCTTCTTCCCGACGCGACCTGCGGAAATGTTAAACAAAACGTCTGGCGGTGGGTGTGGAAAACCGTGGATGTATGGAGGAAGGAAGGGAGACCCGGCCCCCTCCGACGGGCTCGTTGCTGCCGCCAGGCGGCGAGGGGGGGGACTGCAGGGGGACACGCACAGAGAGACACGCTGGGGCTCCACTTCTGTACTGTCAGTACGAAATGACACTTTGTTGTTTCTTGTTCTTCTAGTTGGTACCCTTATGGTTGAGATGCACTTACTGCAAGGGGTCAGCTAAATGACATGTAGTATGATATGATGTCATGTAATAAACTGCCACCTAGTGAACATGTTGAACCTCGCGCCTATTCAAATAATACAGCTATATTTGGAAATTACATTTGGAAATGAAATGCATACCTGAAATACAAAATGCATAGCTATAAATCAATGAGGATAAAGTGCCCTCAAGTTTTTAAATGACCTGTTCTGCACTGGCTGAAACAGGTTATCAAAAGCAATTTGTTATCATTTTCAATTTTAAGCATGTTAATTCAGTATTTCAATTTCCCATGTGATTAGTAATAAATTGGATTAGTCTTTTCGAGAAGTGTTTTTTGTTGTTAAGTAAATAAATTATATGACTGTATAATTTATTTAAATTTATCATTATTTTTGTTCGATATTCTATGTGTCTCCCCAAGCACTTGTATGGGACTGAAGATGAACTATATGTAAAGCTAGAGAATTGATTGAACAATAATTTAGGTCTAAAAATCTAGCGGCATGAATAGATCTTAAAAGGTCTCAAGTCCAGGACAGATAAGTGTGGCCCCATGCAAACAGTACAAAGGCTCACATCCATAATCTATCACTGATTAATAAACCTGTTTTAAATGGTAAATTAAGCGTTTTAACAATAAAAAATACAAGCATTTGATTTGCATATTCATCCATTGATCACTGCACGGATCTAATTCATTTCATGTTCATATTTTGTAAGCACTGTCTGCAGACCTGTGTCGTCTTTGTGTGTTATGGGCGTATTGCTCAAAAGGAGGTGACCCGGTGCTTATCTGTGAAGGGCTGGACGAGACTATCAGCAGCACCAGAGAGCTTTGCACAGTAAAGGGAGGTGGTGGGAGTTCAGTACAGATGAGTCATAATGGAGTCCTGCTAATAAACAGTCCTCCCTGCCAGACAATGCAGAGCCCAGCACATTGTCGTAAGAGCTCACCTGGTGCCTGCGACTCCCCTTTCATTATCTGAATCCAGCAGAGTTCATGGTCAATGAGCAAATATGTTGGGGGGGGGGTTTGTGCTGACGTGTTGCATCCTGGTCAAGCTCTTGGTCAAGCAATGATGATCTGAGAGCTCCAGTGAAGAGAGAAGCATATTTATTGATAAATGTAATCTAGTTTTGATGGTAAAGGTCACACTTGCTGAATGCTGAATTTAACTTATCTTATCAAAAGGACAATGATGCCCTTAATGGATTGTTGTTGTTTTTTCATTAGGAAAGAATTGATTACATACTTTATGGAAAGTCAAGTGTTTGCATCAGCTGGAAGATCAACTTCTTCTTCTTCATCTTTGTTCAGCGCCACCAAAACTATTCAGACTCATCCCTGTACTCCCTGTTGAAATCCAATTCATTAACTAAAAATAAGATTGCTACATATTGTGTTATTATTATGAATAAATATTATGTCTCATTTAGGGGTGTAACTGAATCGATTAATGGATTTATATTCCGCAACCCAACTGAATCGATCGTTGCTCAGCAAATCGACATTCCGGACGACATATATCGATTACAAATCGATTGAAATGGTACATGATTGATTTTTATCAATACTTGGAAACTGCACATTGGATTTAAGCACAAAAACTGTATGGATGTGTGTTACTCTTAAACTTACTCCTTGTTTTTGCTGCAAAGTGTTGAACACTAGAAACACAAACCAACATAAAAATGTTATGATATTTTTAAAACGTTGACGGAAACAAAAATATAGCTGTCAACCCAATATCACGTTATTCCTTTTGTTTTATTTTTGAAATAGGAAATGGTTTTTGTTTTGTGATAGCAGTCATTGTATGATGTTTGTGTGATTTGTTATTGTTATTTTTAGACAATCACAAAATAAGATGCATGCATTGTAAATGGCAGACTGGCGGACATTTTGTGATGTGTACAGTTTGTCAAAATACTTCTACTCGTTAAACGTTTGTAATTATGATTATTAAGTCATGAGAAATGCTGTTGGTTTTGACTTTTTGTTTTATATTTGTTTTTTTTTGTTTTTTAAATAAAAAAGCACTACATTATTGTGAATACAATCTGTCGTTGGGCTTTTAATATTCTTTAGATTGCAAAATAAGAAAGCTGGAACTCTTGATTATAGATTATAATCAAGATTATAATCAATCTCTCTCATTATAAACCTTATGTGGTATTTGAGAACAAAAAGTATAATTAGATTCTAAAATTCAGCTATGATGAAGACATGAGAGTTAAACATCATGCAAGAACTATCTATCAGTATAATGATTATATTGATAATAATAATGGCAACAATCACCTTCTTAAAGTTAAAAATTTGATTACGAAAATAATTATATGATTAATAAACCCACCACTGCAACATATTATTAAAATAATGAATTGATAAATTACAACTAGTGAAATGAAAGATTATTCCCAAATGTATCAGTATCAATTTGCGGGACAAACTACCTTTTGAAAAAATAAAAATGTAATAATAAATTACGTTGTGATGAACTGTAATTAGCAGCAACTCGTAATATTATTGGGCACGTGGTTAAACAACACTTTACCGTGATTGTTGATGTGTTCAACACCTTTACTTACGTAAAGGACACATAATGTTTCCCCAAAAAGAAAATCTTAACAAACTGGGATTTCCAAACAACCTCAAAGTAAAATCCCCAAAAGTCTCGCGATGCTTCCGATTGGCTTCAGTCGGTTACCGTAGTAACGCCAATGACGCCGAGGAGTTGCCTTTTTCTATTGTAGGGTTACAGCGACGTTAGCAAACGTATCTACACCTGTTTGATTAACCACGATTTGACTTGGAGACACAACAATGTCTAAAACAGACCAGGCAGAGGCCTCTAAAGACGCAGGTGAGACGACGCGTCCTTCAACAGGTGCGCAGTCCTTTAATTTGCCGGAAGTAGCTTGGGAATTGTTAGTTAATAACACACTATACAATTTCCGTTATGACTAAAAGTACAAGTCCTGTATAACTTTGTAAAAGAAAACACAACATGTACTCATGTGGTATAGAAGAGAGACCCCTGTTTGTGTTTTATATTTCGTTGGAGTAAAAAGTGAAATATTTAGCCGTTGTACGTGGAAAAGACGTTTCTTTCTTTCAATGTCATTTTCCTATACGGTAATATGTGGTATATTATTATTCTAGAGGTTTAAAAAGAAACAACGTCCACATTTGTAAGTTTATGAATATTTATTTATCCACTTTTTAGCCGGTTGAAATTGGGTTGAAATGAGGTCTCAGACGGTCGGTCCGCATTTCAACCAGATTTCAACCAGAGTTCAACTTTGAAATTACGTCTTCTGCCCCCTGGGAAGCAGAATAATACATTAATAATACATGTTTGGAAATTATACTTTGATGTTATACGTCGTTACTAAGTAGTAGTTTTGAAAAAATAAAAACAGCGTTGTCTTGATTATTTTATTACAAATGTTCTTTACTAAATGTCATAAAAAACATGTCAATTGTTTACATCTCATATGTAAGAGTAATAACTTTGTTATTGTTTCTTTGATGCATAACTATAATATGATAATTCACAAGGGGTCAATAAGCATGAGAATTGCTAAACTCTGTCTGTTCTGTTGTTTTTAGGACATACTCCAAATGAAGAATTGCCTGCTGGGATCTTTGGTTGGTAACTAACTCAAACTTTTCATTTTTTATAATGTGAGAGTTTTATTGTCTTTGCTTTAAACCTTCCATCGCACAGACGGATATCAGTGCTCAGGCAATGTGGAGACTGACTTCCGTGAGCTTTGTGGTCTTCTGGACATGAAGAATATCCCAAACGTCACTTGCACCACTGAAGGTGACGAAGGGCTCACAGGTAAACCAGAGCTACTCTTATCTAAAGGCCTACATACTACATTAATTCTAGTGTAACATACCTTAAATCTGATCAATATTTAGATTTTCCAAACAGGCATTAATCTAAGTAATCTAACAATACGAACCAAATCAAATTGGTCGACCGGTGACAATACACTGGAAATACGTTTCCCTGTGCATCATGTTAGTAGTCTGATTTTACAGTGACTGTCATTTTTTAAATAATCTTACCTCCAGAGGCACCAATCGGCTCTAAGCGATGCTTGCAAGTGCAACTGGAGAACGAAAATCCTCTTAGTGCCCAGAAGATGAAGGTTTTTGGTAAGAACACAAAATCCACATATAAATATTTTCAGCCATATTTGACATTTTCTTCTCTTCTTGAATTCCCTTTCGATCACCGTGAGGAGCCGTCCGCAGCCAACGATGCCCCTCTGGCTGTCATTCAGTATTTCTGCAGCATGTTGAAGAGAAAATGATATAATCTGTTTCAAATAAACACAGGATGGAAGGTAGATGAGCCGACCTCCAGAGTGCTCCTGAAGATGTTGCCCTCCTTAGTGAAGCTACAGAGCCTTCAGTAAGTGATGAGCCGATGCATTCCTGTTGCAGCTGTCCCCGTGTTGTTCTGGTCTGTTGGTGTAACCCTGTCCACTGTGTCGCAGCTTTTGGCGGGCGGGACTGACCGATCAAATGGTAATGTCACTCATGAATACAGCATCACTGTGCTCCAACCTCAGGTGGGTGCATCCTGCTGGCATTCATCCCATAAGACATTACATCAGAGACGCCCGGCAACCCTAACCGCAGTGTAAGTTTTAAAATGATCATTCAAACACTGAGAGTACTTGATTTGATCCTTGGTTTAATGTTAGAGATGTGAAATTGGAGGACAACCATCTCCCAGAGCAGAGCTACCACCTCCTTCTCTCTGAAGACAGCCTGTGAGTCACCAAGCGTTTACACATCTCAGAACTCGTTCAAATAGACCCACGATTTGCCTTCACGCACACAAAAAGAAGAACCCACATTCATTGTCGTGTGTTTCTTTGGTCAAGTCTCACAAACCTAACCCTGCGGAATAACCGTATCGGAGACGAGGGAGCCCGTCTGATTGGTTTGGCTCTCTCAACAACTAGATCTGCCAACAAGAACCTAATTTACCTAAATCTGGCTTTCAATTGTATCGGTGATGCCGGTGCTGCACATATCGCACAGGTATAACCATCAACAGACTCCATATTTGCACCTATATCTTCACCTCATGACTGCTGAGGTGTACATAGTCTTCTTCCTGTTGTGTCTCTCAGGGCCTGCGGTTCAATCGTGCTTTGCTCGCGCTCTCACTGTGCAACAATCATATCGGAGACCAGGGGGCTCGTCACATGGCTGCGGTATCCAAGATTTTAACCTGGCATATAATGCATTGAAATCAGTAGTTGGATTGTTTCAAATTACATTTAGCTAATTGCATTATATTCCGTAATTTAATACACCTTCATCTCTTTACCATAAAACTTTTAGATTCTTAGCGAGTTTGCTCTCACTCATGACGAAATTGTGGAGAAGAGGAAGATGCTTCTGGAAAGAAAACAGCGTGTAAGTAGAGGAAAGTCAAACCACCACTCTAACTTAAAACCAATCACAATCCTAGACATCAAAATGTGTTGAATTGACATAATTTCAAGAATTGAAAGTCTTAAAAGCGCAGACTGGTTCTCACTGGTGTAACAGGGAGAGGACAAGTCAGAGACATTCTAATAAAACACATTAAAACTATATTTCCAGTCGTCCGTAGGGATTGAATCTGACCAGCCTGCAGACCAACTTTCCTCAGTAGCCAGCAGCAGTTCACAGAGCGTCGGCAAAGGGGCAAACCAAGGAAAACAAAAGGTAACAAACCAAAAATCTTTGTAATTGGTGTAACTAATTTGGTATCTGTGGCTTGTAATTCAGTAATTAAGTAATGCTGCCATCTTTTAACTTACAGAAAGAGAAGAAAGCTCCTAAGGAAGAGAAGTCTAACAAGAAATGTGACCGAATAACACGTTTTTTATCATCCATTGACAGCTGAGATGCAAATCTTCTCATTTTCATTCATTGCTGTCTCTTTTAATTTTTCCCCCCAGCTTCTGATATAAAAGTGACTCCAAGTAAAGGTGGAAATTCAGAGAAAGCACTGAATGCGCAAAAGGTAGACAACGTTCCTCTGAAGCTGCGTGTTCTATGTAGCCCAGCACACGAAGACACGACAGTACCTTTAATCATTTGGTTGTTTTACTTTGTTTTTATGGCAGGATAAATCAAATACTGCCCAGTGAGCAAACAAATTTAAAAATCTAAAATCTTGTTCTTTTCACACACTTCTTTTCTCCCTCTCAGCCGGTGGAGCCGGTGGAGCCGGTGGAGCCCCTGCTGGACGAGCCCGTGCACTACAGGGACGGAGAGCTTTTTATGTCTGGAAACAAGGCGCTCACCTCCCTCAACTTGGCAGGTCAGTAACTGTGTTCATCTGGGCCTGAAATGAGACATTGAGTTGAAAATCCTCTCAAAGATATAGTTAAGTTTGATAGCAGGAGCATCGTCAAGCAAACTCATAAATGTGGAAGATTAATTATGGTGTGAGTTCCGCAGAATTGTTGTGCAGAGGTTTACAGATGGTGTTGTTTTTTGTCTCCAGTATCAATTATACTACATTTTTTAGAAAACCATAATATTTTAATCAACTAATTTGTTGAGAAAAAAACACATAATGTTTTTTTTTATTATTATTAATTAAATGATTATTTATTGTTTAGGAAACAGAATAACACAGAGGTCGCTGCCTCTTTTCCTGGAGTCACTCAGGATGCAGGGGGAGGGACGTCGCCTGCTGCGTCTCTGCCTGCAGGTGTGTGTCTCAAGCTGACATTGTGTGTCTGTGTGTGTTTCTCTGTGTGTGTCCACAGTCCACTTTAGTTCATGAGTCGATATTACAGTAACTTGGATAAAGGATTTAACAAAAATAATTACTAGCTAGGTAGCAACAACTTGGGCTTTGTTTTAAAAACCCATCATACTTATTGCCAATAATATTATTGTATTGTATATAGATGATTTTTTAACTTCAAGATCTAGAAATGCGGGAATATTGGTTCAAGTGCAAAATGTGCAGCTTTTAGCTCCTTTGTTATCTATTGAAGCGCGTATTTAAACACCACCACAATCATTTTGAATTGATTCATATATTAGTTAAAGTATCTCAGTGACTAACTACACTGTAAATACACCACTGAAATGTTTGATGGAATCTACAGTGTTGATTAACTGTTACAGAGAAATATGAGGAGTGTTTGTGTGTTGATGTCTGATCTGTCTTTTAGAGAAACTGCTTCCCACCAGGATGTGAGTGTTATGTGAAGATACAGAAACTGATGGACCTCAGGGATCCACTCAAAAGAGCTCCTAAATGAGCACAAGGAAGAACAGCTGAGAGGACTAATCTTGTATATGTTTTGTATACATACATTAAGAGTACATAACCTTATTTTACCCCGTTGTGCTTTTGTAACACGTGAACATTGAGGTATTCACAGAAACAGTCTTGTGGTACATTAAAGCATCGACTGTACAGGAGGACAATGAGGCCTATTAAATTCCAGATACTTTTTCCCAGGACAGTTCTTTAGGACCCTGGTTACAGATCCCTTTACTGCTTTGTTTTGCTCACAGTCAGAGTTTACATCAAGGACAAAAACTGAGAACAATCAGATACCAAGTAGGTGAGCCTTTGCGGTCATATCTTACAGTTTTCAGCAGGGTGACGGGTACTTATGGTTATATCTGGTTTTAGGACTTAATTGTTGGGTAACTTCAGTAGAGTTTAGCTTCATTCGCTAGTGAAAAAAAGACATGAGTAATTTCCTCTGTTTTTAGCATTATTAAGTCATAAAAACAAATAAAAGTGCTCTGGTACTGAATACCACGGTTATTGCTGAACTCAATCTCCTGTCTATGGTAATGGTATTGACTTGTTTCATGCACAGTTTCCTCTGTATTGAGGAACAAGTAGAAAGAAGAAAATATTATTTTCACAAACGTCTGTCGTCCGCCATGCCATGTTTATAATATGGAAGTAAGAAAATAAGACAAAAGATGTTTAAAAGCTTTTACACAACTTGGAGAATGTCCAACACAGTAAGAACAGGGTAAATGAAAAATAAAAACAGCAGTATTCTCTGAATTAAAGGTTACTTGCTTTTTTCAGGTAAGATTTCCTTACATTTTGCACATCAGTGAGCGAAAACTGCACAACAGAGGTAGTAACACCTTTGCAGCAAATGATGGCAGTATACTCTCACACAAACGGAGACCATTATTTTGCTGTGACTATGTGATAAGCTTCATTTAGCATTCATGTATAACATTTAATTTTTCCCTTGTAATGGATGTCCTGCACTCATTTTGCTTCGAATGAGGGTGCAATTTGAGTTTCACATAGAACATAGACGTTATGTATGTGTCCAATATTCACAGAGGTGGCTGTTTGTGCTGCATAACAACATAAGAACACTACATACACATTGAAAAATCAAGATACATCTTATAAAAAGAGTAACGTAACCGTCCTTGTTCCTAAACTGGTTGTCACAGATTATTAGGATTTGAATACATTTTAATGTAAAAATACCTCTGACTATACAATGAGTCAACATCAAATAGAACAGATTCTGTCTGGGAAAAATATCAGGCAACACATCAACCGGCTGAACTTTAAAGGGACTTTTTTGGGCCTGGCAGCGCACGTTTGCGCATGTTTTGCCAAGTCCATGTATGGACTTCCGGTCCACTGGACACAGAAGCCAGTTAACTGGATGCTTTCAGAGCTGCTCACCTCGCAGGCTCGAGTGTTGCCATAGGATATAGTATCCTGGCAACAGCACTAACCTAAGCTAAGGGAAAGTAAGGCCATGCAGATGTTCCTGTATGAACCACTCATTGTGTAACCCCTGCTTGCAATGAATTCCCTTTTAATTGCACCCTTGCTTTCAGAAATTCTGCATTATTATTCTGTACGACATTTAGTTCAGATATATTAAACATACATACATTATTCTTGCATGGCTCCATTTTATTATATTAAAAAAAATCTTTAGCAAGATACTAGAATGGAAAATACATTCATTTCGTAGAAGCCTGTGGAGCATCTTTGAAAAATCAAATAAATGGAGATTTGAATTGCAGTGCAGGAGACAATACACAATGATATTGGGTAAGTGTGCCCCTACTGTTAAGAGAACTAGATGATCTGAATGCATATTTTTCAATATGCATTCAGATCATCTAATTCTCCAAACCTGCTGATGCTGAACCTCCTTGTTCCTCATCGTCCTGAAGGCAGAGTGGATGTAGCCACTGTTGCCATGGCAACTATCAGGATTGATAAAAGGGTGCGGCTTATTTGTGTTGTGTACTGACAAGGTCTTTTGACTAAAGGGACCTTGGATTAATCAAAAAAAGAATTGACAGAGTTAATCAATTATTAAGATAATGGTTAGTTGCCGCTGTAGGTGTGAGTCTCCTCTTGAGACTGAATTGCTGAGGACAGTAACTGCAGGATACGTGCTTTGCCGTTAGGCGGTCATTAGGCCATTTACCAGATTCACAGGCAGCTTTGCAATAATTAACAGAGAATTAGGTGTTTAAAGTGAGTGCATCCTCAAAAAGACAACACATTCTTTTGAAAGAGTTATGGTAGCCTATATCACTTTCTCAGTGACTCAGACTGCTCTCTAAAAGTGATGCTGTATTTACTAATATATTGGCCACTTTTAATCACTGAATTGTCTATAACAGTGCGACACATGTAGACACAAAGCTGCTTGGCTATAATGCATGTTAATGGACCTATGCTAACGTATTAGCCCAGCATGCTAATATTTGCTGATTAACACTAAATGCATCACATGGGGGTCTTTCTTAAAAGCACTAAACACAAAGTGGTACAATTAGGGCTGATATCAACAGTCCAGGGCAACTGCTCACATCAACCCGAAAATGGGGATTTATGAAAAATCAAGGGAATAGAAAAACATCCTGAATAAATATGTCTGGATTAACTTCCGACAGCTATTGTAGACTCACTATTGACTCTGTCACTTGTGACTACATTGAGCTTCTATGTTCCTTTCTTATTTTTGTTGGACAAAATGTCCTTCACAATTCAACATTAAAACTGTCTGCATTCCGCCTGTATAAAAGCCGCTCATTAGCCCTCCGGTCCAGGCAACCCCCTGGGGTTAGCATATGGTCTAAAGGTAAGACTACAGGTAATACCCTGCTAAAAAACACTCTCAAGGAGTTCTGGCATTTAGCTATGACGCACAGGCACAGCTGTAATCCACCATATTTGTCATTCAGAGGTAAAGGAGCCACATCCGGAGGGAAAGTGCGAGAAAAAGGGAATGTGTGTGGGAAACAAAGAGAAAGTCTCACCAATAGCGCTACATAAGTGCTTATTTCAAATTAGTGGGTGACCATGTAATACCAACCTTATCGTTCTTGCTCCCCGTGCTGATTTTCTGAGTGGTCTGTGATTGTTTTAAACATGTACTGACAGCCGAGAGAAACGGACAAGCGTTGCTTTTAAATCTGTTATGCTCTGGGAAACAACAGCACCACTTCTGCTGAAAGACATGTCGTGCCACAGCTCATAGTGCTCAAGTTTTGTTCTCAAGCAAGAACATGGAACCCTCGGTTCTGTAACAAACAACACTACTCAGTACCTCCAGATGAACGCAATTCAAGACTGGTTTTCTCTGAGTACATAAGTGAAACATTCTAAACTTATACCCTGAATATGAATATTATGGATACTAAACTGTGTAGGATTATAAGACGTTTTTATAACATAAGAAAATTCAAAACATCAACACCACATAAATGCCAAGAGTTAAGAAAAACTACTTCACCTGTGTTTCTGCTGACAAAGACTGCGTCATGTGATCTAAAGCTCCAAATAAGCTACTAAAAGGACCTTGTGACGAGAACTGCTGTATTATCTAAAAGATATGGCTGTTTCCAGAGATTTAATTCATTAACAAATCCTTAAATGTCTCTATAATTACGGCTTCTGTCCAGCATCTCAGATAAAAAGTCACCTCACCATGACATACAATTTTTAGGGGACCTGCAGATAGCAGCAGTAATTATATTATATATTATTATCATTGCTCCCCTATGCCATCTCCTTTCGTCATATGCTGCATTGTAACAACAATAAATACATCTTAATAAATTAAAATACAACCTATTCAATTCCAAATAGTTATTCAGGGTTAACTAGAACAATAACGATGATAATCAAGAAGTCTCATTTTCTTTGTTTTTAATTTACTCAAGTGTAATAATCATACTAACTACAGGAGATGAAAACAATTCAGAATTCAACCTTTATGTTTCTCTAAATCCATAATTATAATAATGTCATATACCGCTGACAATCACTAACAGGATATTACTGCCAGTGGGAGGAAATGGGGCCTTCTTTGTCTCTCCCTTCGCTTCCCCTTGGCAGTTTAAAAACATTCTCTTCCTCGCCCTTCTTAGGAATTAGCATCCGCTGTTTCTATAGCAACAGCCTTCAATTAAGAGACATCCAGGACCTCACTGTTACTGCCAGCAAGGTGCTAATTGATACTGGATTTCTTGTTGCGAGGGGTAGGGGGTTGAGATGAGAAGTAAGAGTTGCGTATGTGCATGTGTGTGTGTGTGTGTGTGTGTGTGTGTCGGATTAGGGGGTTAGTCATCTACAGCTTTATGATGTTATCTGCATGGGGAATTGTTTTTTCACATGCAGAACACAGAAGAAGGGCAAGAGCAAAAGAGAAAGAGAGACAAAAAGAGTTGGACAGGACAGAATTATCATGTACTAAATATTGGGGTTTTGATTGGATTGTGTTCATGGCTACTGAGGACACTGCAGCCTCACAGATATTAAATATGCAAAGTCTAAGCCTCTTTGCGGCTGCGGACGGACTGCCTTTGTGTGTTTATCTGAGTATACATTAGCTGTTGCAACCAATACCTTAAAGGCAAGTTATGCGTCACGATGAAGAAGGGCTGCAGATTAATGGTGAAACAAAACATGGGTGAATAAAGATTATAGCCTACTTGTAAATTCAACTCACCATTTCAATATTATTCTATATGTGCACACCAGGCAAATGTTTCTATTTTGCATTTATATTTATCTGCATTTATCTGTTGTGTTTGTCTCCAATTGGACCAGTTTTAGTAAGTCTGTCCCCATGCTCACCGATGGCTACTTTTGTTAAGTCATAACATAAAAGAAATACAAATAATAAAGAAATTTAGTGACTCCTGTGGTATTTCTTTTGCATTTCTGATGATCGAAGAATTTACTCTTGTGCACAATACTGCTCTGATTTGCCATGAGCATGCTGAGCCAACTTCACACTTTTGGTGTAAGAATAAATTAACACAATTTATGAAGCTGAAGCTATATATATTGTATATGTGCATATATTTATCCATACGCAGTGAATAGCAGTGAAAGACGATATGTACAGCAAAGCATAATTTGCACCCAAGCCAGTGACCTCACAAAAATGAGCAGCGTTTAACAAATGGAGGATGTAAATCCTCTTTTGCGCTGGCTTAAAGCAGAATTACAGCAAACTGGTTAAATTAAAATGAAGAACAAGAGCTGCTTATATGGAGGAGAGAGGAAGCGGAGTCTCAAATACTGCAGACAATTTAAACTGTCTCCTATCTCCTATTTTTAAAGAGATCAGAATCATATTCTGGCCCCTGTCAAATGTGTTTGTTTTCTCATTATTCAACTTTTTTTTGATGATTGGCCTCATTGCAATGAAAATAGAACAGAGGAGAATTGCACTTTCATCATCTTAAGAGATGTTTTTGTAAAAAAACGACTATACTTAGACTGTAAAATGTTTGCCAAAAGCTTCAAAACGGCCTGGGTTCAAAATCTATTTCTAGTTTCTCATTTAGTCATCCTAGTTTGTATGATTGGGATTTTACTGTTAAATTTAGGTACTGATCTGGATTTTAGTGCTTCATATATCTGCAGGAGAAGTTGTTTGTTCAGTTGCGACTTCAACGTGTATTTCATCATCATAATATGTCTGCCTGCCAAAAATCAAGGATCAGATTCTTCATGTAATATAGATTTGTTTTATTAGAAAAGAGTCACATTCA